TGTATAAATTTTTTTCCGATCTCCTGTATATGCCCATTATAGGTCAATATTCGAACCACGCATGCTTCTGCCTCAAGAAAAAGATAAATCCCGTTTCCCTAGGAAAGAAGTAAATATCGTAAATCGTAATCTAGCAAAATCAGAAAAAGCCCTTCTTTTTCTTCGGCTTTCTCTCCATGTCCTTTAGGATATCATCAAAAGTGCTTCCTCCTACAGAGCCCTGCCTCGAACTATTCCGCGAATCCTGAGGTAGTTGGATAGGGGAACCTGGGAGACCATGTAGATTGCCCGATGATCTGCTACGGCTCATCATGGTACTGACTGGCCGTGGAGCCGGAGACGGGCCCCTGGCACTAGAGATTCGCGATCCCAGCATCGAAAAGTCATCTTCAGGCATCGGGATAGGTTCAAGCCCGAAAGCTACACTACTTCGGTAATTAGGGTTCCTACCGCCTGGCGAACCAGTTCTCTGTCTGAGTGCTAGACCAGGAGGGCCACTTTGGGGAGAGTCGCTTCGGTTGACTAGAGGCGGCGGGCTTGCTGAGATGCCCGGATCCATATCGGCAAAAACGGCCTGTGGCGGTGGCAGTGGTGACAGGTTTTCTTGTTGTATCATAGGACCGATGTCTTCTCCAACCTCCCAGCGTTTAGCTACTAGCCAGCAGTGGCTACGGTGGTAGATGCCCTCAATACTAAACTCTACGGCATCGGTTGAAAGCTCAACCAAGCCACCTCCACCGGCCACTTCATACCATCTCTTGCGCACCGCCGGCGCATCTTCTATCCATGGCGCCTGACCCTTTGGTGGCTGACAGAGGAAGTATTCGACGCCTTCCGTGAACTGTAGACCGGGGGCGTCCACCACCAACATCGGAAGCGACTGGATAATAACGTATAGGAATAGCCAGTAGCCGAGACGTTGGTCTGCCATTTCCGCGGCCGTTTTGCCCTTGGCTTCTTTGATTTCAAACTCCTTGAACTCATTAAGAAACGGGATGTCCAACTTGTATGTCTCGAAGTCGTAGGCCTTGTTCAAGATCAAGAGAGTCTGGTATTCCTGCAAGTTATTGCCTAACCGGGCTTGTTCCTTAGCAGAGAGCTCGTAAAAGTTCTCCTGAACACTAGTCATGTCAGGCAACTTGGGAAGATCGAATGGAATTGGAGGGAGTACAGGAGGCGAGGATTGATCAAATTCCGTAAGGACCCTGCGCATAGCCGACAGGTGGGGATTCTTATGGCTCGTAGTCTCATCTGCATTTTGGTCGATCACTCGTGTTGTCAGCGATTCGCGGTCAACGAGCAGGTCGTATAGCGCGCAGAAGTCCGAGTACATTATCTTCAAAACCTGCCTATTCAAACCACTCTCGGTAAATGGGTTTTTCTTGCTGCGGGCCTTTGGTGGCCAACTCCCAAAAGTAGATTTGTAATAGTTAAGGGTAAATTGTCTTATGCGGCCGAAAGATCTCCTCCAGGTATGATATTTGACATCCTTGTATTCTGAACGGGACGTCGAGTTGGCGACCCCAGAAAACAAGGCCGGAAATTCGAACGACTCTAGCCTATTATTGACTCCGTTTTGGCGATTTACCAGTTCGATATACGCGCGTTCCAGTCGTTCGCGAGTGGTGATAGAAATTTGTTCCCACAACGGCGAATTCAAGTCTTTAATCGCCGAGTATTTGCCCACAGCATGAGTAAACGCTTCGTTGTAGAGGGCCATTGAGCGCATCCGTTCGCCTAGAATGAGCGATTCTATCGTTTTCTCCCTGCTATGTCTCACATCCGCAAGGCCCATCTGGTCCATGAAAAAGCTAAAGCTCATTTCAACAGCATCTCCAAAAGTCGATCCATCAGCGTTTGTGAACTCGAATTCTTTGAGTAGGCTGGATATGTTGATGAAGACGCTGAAGAGCGTTGGCTGTTCCTTGGTACACACTAGCGGCTGGCCGGTCAAAAACGCAAACATATTCCGGATCGATATCAGTCGCTCCATGTCTGCTTGTGACCTATTTCCTGGATCGGACATAGAAACAGGAAGATAGAGACGCGACTCCCCATACACATCTGGTTCAGACAATGTGGGTGACTGAACTCTTCGTGTTGCATCATCGACGGACAGACTATCTCGACCGGTAAAACTGCGGGCACGACTCCTTCCTGAGCCGGTGGGCGATGTCATCTCGGCTTCCATAAGATCGACAAAGACCAGAGAATAATCCACGACAAATGAAGGGACTTTGAAAGAAGCATTTCCGCCGCTTCCCTTAGCATCCAGGTAAACCAACACATTTCCATTCTCGTTCCACAACTCGGGGACCTTTTCTCCGTCCGCAAGGAATGATGTATTGTAATCCGTATTCTGCCCAAGTATCCATGCCGCTGATGTATGAACTGTCTTCGTTAGGCTCCGCGAATGCGACCTTGACCTTGCCCCTGGTAGCCAACTTCTTCTTAAGCGCCCTCGCCGTTCCGCCTCTCGCGTCGGACTTTCGGCTCCATTACTCGACCCTGGACGGGATACAGCTGGTGCGGCCGCTGCAGAGACCGTCAGATTCCCCGAACCCGAACCCGGGGCCGGTCTTGTAACAGGTGGCTGGGCAGACACACTTCGGACCCTAGATTCAGGGGTCGGCGAACCCGGTTGTGGTACTCCTAAATTGGTTTGAGAATTTGATGTTTTATGACTGCCACTTGCAACAGAGCTACTTCGCCGTCTCTGGTCTTTCCTGAGCCGTGGGGATGACTTGGTTTCGAAGAAATGAAAAGTCGAGTTTCGTTGAGGAGCGGAAAATGTGTCATCGGCATCAGATGACGGTGCCTTGTCCGTCACCGGCGCGGCTTTCTGTAACTTCTTCGGAGCAGAACTCGTGGCATCATTTTCGGAGGAGTCTCTACCGTCGGTTGGAATGGACTGGGGTGTAGCGGTGTTGTCGGAGAGGTCATTTGAATTTGATCTTGAAGAACCGTCTCTTGACTCTTCAAGTGACCCTGTCCCCAGCGGTAGGCTCGGTAGGCTCGGGGGCCTGTCTTTGACAGGGGACTGATCGGGTAGCGGTTTACGATGAAAAGCTCCCGTAGGAGAGTCTGGAGATTGAAGACTGATTAGTGACGGAAAGAAGGATGACAAGCGGTCGAGCCGCGACCTTGCAGAGAACATTTAGGCTAAGCCTTTAGTGTTCTCAGATTGGTGCGATGAATCAAGGTTTGCCACAATCTTGTAGCTTGAAGGTCCGTCCTCGTTTAGTAGCTTTTGATCTTGATCGCTATTTTCGGGAGGACTGGTGACTCGAAGGAAGGGGAAAGAAGTATAAATGGATGCCTGTCCACTCACTTGTAGAAGCCATTGTTTGGTCTGTGAATGAAAATGAACAAGCACAAGCACAGCCCTTTTCTTCGGACAGGGTGCGCAAAGCCAAGGTACCTAGGTATCCCAAGGTAATCCGCGGATGGGGGATGGGATGGAAACGGAGTAGGTACTTTGTGTCTTAGGTTTCAACCTAGTAACCACTCCTGCTACTCTTACTGTACAACAGGTATGGGGATCCACCAGCTAAGATTAATAAGAATATCCGTTCAACAACGGTTCAACGCTCGGAGAAGTAGGGCGTGCGGCGGTTCTAGTGTAAAGTGACGAGTCCCGGATGCGTGGACTCGATAGTGCGGAACGCCTCGCGTCGGTGGATAATTTTGGTTCTGGGGAGGGATTTCCTTATTCCCTGAGTCCCTAGATTGTTTTAGTTTTTTTAGAATATTTTAGAATAGATCCAGAAAAAAAAAGAATTCCTATTTAAATTTTATCATTCCCATCCAAGACAATGGGAAAAAGAATAAGGGTTTGGATGATTGTTATGCAATAATATGCTGTAGCTCATACAAATTTGATACGTAGGATTTTGTTATATATATCTCCAATATCGCCTTGGAGGAAGGTTGAAAAACGTTAACACGGTACTGCACATGTTTTGGGGAGGGGTGACGTCGGCTGCTTCTGTATGTAGTGGAACCCCGTGCCTACATAACAAGAGGTAATTACTACCCTGATTTCGTGATTCCTACCTTACCCTTAGTGGTACTGCACGAGTACGAGGTAGAGTACGTACCTCACTTATACGGATCTACTTCATGTACCTAACATAAGCGCATGTTGACCACCAATTTGACTATGCATCAATTTGTCCACCAAACAAGGGCAGACTTATCCCTATTAGTGTAACTAAAGGCGCATATATGTTAATGTTACGTACAACATTGAATAAGTCCCTCAAAAATTTTAGTTGCCTTACGTGTAGCTGCGCGCTACGTACCCGATATACGTATACAATGTAGGTAGGTACGCATTTTGAGCTGACTCTTCCATCATAAGATCCTAGAGCTCAGCTGTGCAAATTTGTCATATGTTATTAGGTAGGTGCCACTTGCAACTAATCTCCCTGACGGGCTACTCTTATCCCCGGCCCCGACTTCAATGTAGATATGCATGTGCGAATTCAGCGCAAATGGACGGGATTCGGTTCGGTTGAACAGGTCTTCTCGACTCTATTAAAGCAACAACAACAAACGAATGGTTTGGCGACGGTCTAGAAGTATTTGTACTTCTCCCACCTTTAGCTGAAAAATCCAATGACGTATGTCTACGAGAAAAAGTCCTGCAGGGACGGGCTGCTAACGCCAGAGGCTGACGTGAGACTTTAAGGGGAGATTTACGTGGGTGAATAACAACAAAGAAAAAAAAGACAACAATAGCTACGACTTTGAATTATATACTTACGCTTACAGCGTCGACGATATAATAAAGCAAGTATTTGGTGAGTTTAAGGTGTTGTGAGTTCAATTCTGTATAAGGCTGCATGTCAGATTCATGTTCAGGAACGATTACCAGATTTCGGGCCGTGGCGAAAACCTTGATCTGGTCCCGTAATCTATTCTTAGCATCGGTAAAAGTGTCATAGGGATAATAGATGTAACATAAATACATATATAAATCCCGACGACCACAATGTCTTTAACCCCCTTACATACACCTCCTAAGTCAGCACAAATAATTGGTATCTCCCTCGTAAGGCTATTACAAAGGAGTAAGCGATACGGACATTTGGTAGGCTACACAGGTGACACGACATAATTTACAAATAGACCCATTCGTATTATAACTACCTAGTTCTTCCGATCAGTCAGTATAGTATGACCGGTATGGGTAGTTAGGGTAGTATTGAGTGTACTTCGAATAACGGTTCTAGAAAAGTGCTAAAACACCGATCCCAGCTTACACAAAAACGCCAAGTAAAAAAGAAAGAAAAAAGAAAAAAAGGAGCAAAACACATGTCTGTACATGCGGCTTTTCCATCTGTTTAAACTACATCGCATATCAGATTCTCATCGCAGGATAGAACAGATCTGAAGAACTCTATGTTAGCAAAATACAATATTAAAACCTTAATGAGTTTAAATTCTTTGTACACTGCCTAGGTATCAGATAATCGGTACCTGAATGCCGATTTAGATTCTAGATATTGGATTAGATAAGATTAGATAGATTCCCGAAACTTTCCCATTACATTCCAACCTTTTAACCTTCTCCCACCTCGATCGTTTGTGGTGATCTGATCGCTTCCCATTCGTTCCACCGCTTGACATGTCATGGTTCCGTAACGCAATCCGCAGCATGGCGTCCGAAATGAAGAAGGTTCCTATTCCTCGCAACGGCGTCGACTACCGGGGTAAAATTGTTCTTGCGCCGATGGTTCGTTCGGGAGAGCTGCCCTCTAGACTCACGGCTCTACACTACGGCGCTGATTTAGTATGGGGTGCGTTTCTCATAACTTCTCTTCGTTAGATTCTCTATGATACGGGTTCAACCCCGCTAACTCGTATTACGCAGGCCCCGAGACGGTAGATAGATCCCTAATCGGAACGACGAGGCGCTTCAACCCCGAGACTAAAACCATCGAATGGACGAGGAAGCCGTCGCATGGCAACCAAACCCCACCAACCGACGTAAAAGACAGCCTAATCTTCCGAATCCACCCAGAGAAGGAAGGCAAGAAATTAATCTTCCAAATCGGTACTTCGAACGCAGACCTAGCAGTCCAAGCAGCGCGCCTCGTCGCCGCCGACGTCGCGGGTATCGACGTGAACGCCGGGTGCCCCAAACCCTTCAGCACGCACGACGGCATGGGCGCCGCTCTGCTGCGCACCCCCGACAAACTCGTCGGTATTCTAGAGGCGCTAGTCCAGAACATCACACCCGAGTTCGAGATCGGGATCAGCGTAAAAATCCGGATCCTGGAGACCGCCGCGGAGACGGAAGCGCTGGTTAGAAGGCTCGTTGCGACGGGGATAACAGGGCTAACAGTGCACTGCCGAACGACTCCCATGCGACCCAGGGAGCGCGCCATCCGCGGTCAATTACGCATGATCGCCGACGTATGCCACGAAGCTGGTGTCGCATGCCTAATGAACGGGGACGTAGAAACCCGAGACCAAGCGCTCTCTCTAATCCACGAATACGGTGTCGACGGCGCCATGATCGCGACACAAGCCGAGAAGAATCCCAGCTGCTTCCGGAGCGCAGCAGACGGTGGCATATTACCATGGAACGAGGTTGTGGAGCAGTACATCCGGTACGCGCTCGAGGTGGAGAACAAATTTGGCAACACCAAATTCCTACTCTGTCAGCTCATCCCGGGAAAACAGCCCGCCTACCGTAATATCAGCACCTGCAAGAGCTACACCAAAGTTTGCGAGTTGCTTGGCTACGAACACCTGATGGAGCGAGCCCGCGAGGTCGATGTCAACCTAGATATTAACCCGGACAACGCGGGAAAGAAAGACAAGAAAGCCAACAACAGTGCGCTCGCCGCGGGGGGTAACATGGCTGAGTCGCGAGCGAAGCCCCAAGCTAAGAAGGGTTTGGCAGAACGGGGTGTAAACGCGCAGACAGAAGCGCAGTCGGCCTCGGCGAAGCCGTTTGGGGGTATGGCGGTGCCTGTTTAAAGTGGATTGTGGATTGCATCGTAGGAGTTGATGGAAATGGCATTTAAAGGCGTCGAAATAAGCATATACCCCTTTTTGGCTCTAGGGGTGAGGGGGTGAAAGGCATTTGCATGGACATCTACTGGTTCACGGTTTAGGTTAGCCTTGCGAAAAATACAGGCTTAGTGACAATTGGGATGGCTAAGAGTATAGGAACGCGTAGTTATAGCGAGATTAAAAGTCATAATGACGAGTGCTTCAAGATATTTATTCAGCCAATTCAAACATTTACAACCCTTCATCCACCTTTTTTATTCACGACTCGTTACCTAAACTTTCTTGCCTTGTTTGATTAAATCGGACACTTTCGGGGGTAACACTAATGCAGTCCTATCGTTGCGCTTGTGGAAGTCTACGAGAGATATCGCGATCTTTTCGGGCAAGTCTTCATGTATGAAATGCCCTGCCTCGGGAAATACCTGCAGGGCATATTTTCCTGCCGTAGGAAACACGTCAGCTCTGTACAACTTCTTCTTCGGACGCGAATGTTGCAACCAAAGGGGGCACGAACCTTGCATTTGACCGATTGTTAACTCGGTGTCTAATCTGTCCGTGCCTGCGAGGAGCAATAACTTTCCGCCTCTCGCGCTCAGGAACTTCTGGCTTAGCCCTGTGAACCAATTCTCCCAGAATGGCTCCGTCGCCCCGAGATCCGTCCTCCATTTCCAGGGTCTCGGATCACCCGGGGTTCCACTTAGTTTCAGCAAGGATGGGACGCTGGTACGGGCGGAGAGGGAGTTCCGAATTGTTCTCGATTTAAGATGCCAGTCGATCCCTTCTTCTAAGGTTGTGAAACCAGTCGGTCGTGTAGAGAGATAAGTGTTCATGCTCTTCAAAGCATCAACGGCTGAGCCCTCGACTACGTCAAGGACAACATATCCTAGTAATGAACTACCAAGCTTTCCCGTCTTGGCCACTTCTGTGACAACCGCACCTCCCAATGAGTGTCCGACTAAGATAATGGGTGGTAACTCTGACCATTTCATTTCCTTCTGTGTTAGCAGTATGGTTGAGAGCAGGTCCGCAGCAAAGACCTCTAGGCTCAGACCGATTGCTCGGTTGTCCGGAGGTGTCGTTGTTAAGCCATGACCACGCGCGTCGAGGGATAGGATGCCAGCCGACGGAAGGCGTTTCCGAATCTCATCCCCGACTAGAGCGAAAGAAAGACCGGACGAACCAGCACCATGGTGCATGATAAACAAAGGGCCCTTTCCAACAGGAGACGTTAGGTAGGCATGGATGGTAGGGTCTGTAGGGCTACTTGGATCGTGGAGGAACAGTTCCCGCTGGAAATAAGTAGTCCAGGGGATCTGCTGGAGAGATCGTCCTCTCGGCGCGCTGTGTACCAGAATCAGCTGCCGTGGAAATGAGCGCATACGGGTTGAGAGGAACTACCCCTGTGGTCTGGCAAATAAGTTCTGGCTTGGGGAAGGGATGACAGTTCCCGTGGAAGAAGCTGAGGATGCCGAGGACGAATCATCGTCTGGGTGTTCTGGAAGCTCGGGAACCTGGTCAGCCTCATCTTCGTCCCGTTCATCGAAACTCTCGGCAGGTAAAGCGGCTAGGCGGTTCTTGGCCCAAGCCCTCTGAAGGTTACTCATTATGAAGCGGCTGCAGCTAGGTGGGTAGTTGGCTGCCCAATGGTCGCATGAAAATGAAATAAGACGGCGATCAAGTATATGCAGGTCATAATATGGGTCAACTCAAATGACTGCAATTATTCTGTCTGAACCTAGGCACCATGCCCACTCAAGTAAATAGGGAGGATCTATGTACTTGAAGAAATGGGTAATGATAAGAACGGTTGCTAGTGAGGTATGTATGATAGATGTGATACGAAGTAGAGGTTGATATGTAAAACAAAGGAGTTATCCCACTTCTCTTAGTGGGGGGAGGGTAGCCAATCTAATGGTCCCACTACCGTTTGACATCACTCTTTTCTCCACTACTATGTATTGTATCAATCAGTACCATGTACCTATGAGAGGTAGTTAGGCAACTTCAGCCTAAGCCTTATTACATAATGATTTATATATTGGTCCTTCCATCTTCTAATGTATGCTGTTTATGATTTCTTCTTATGAATCTCTTTGTTCATTTAATCTACCATTACGTCACCCAGCAGTGATATTCGTTGAGTCTTTTAAAATTAAATAAAACGCGCATAAATCTGTATAAGCTTGCTACAAAATATCCAATAACGAATAGCTCTTAAAGGATTTAGATAATATAAATGCCTCATATTGGTTTCCTAGCCAGCAACTTCTTAGGACATTAACTTAAAGGTGACATCGGTAACTGATACGGCTGGGCATACTATATACATTTCATCCTTATCCAGACCAGCACCTTGGGTATCTAAATGGACAACAACAAACCGAGTTTATCAGCAGTCAAAGCTCCGTGGCCCAAGTTCCTAAGAAATAGATCCATGAGTACCTTCCTAGTCACCCTTCAACGCAGCTATGTCCCTAAACACCGCGATATCTCGCGGGATCGACGTTCTTTATGAAGCGGCAAGATGACCGTTTAAGGCCACCCATACTTTCGTCTTGTAGACTATACACCGGATTCCTGATGAAAGTAATACCACGCGGATCGTTCACGGTTGTGATGGCCACTCTGACCGTAGCCTTAGGGACAATGCCACGAGAAGCTTCCAAGGCGACCGTCGAATCGTCTACGGCGAAGTGGTGACAGAGAAAATTGGCAAGACAGGCCAGCTTCATACTATCTCAGCCACGCCCGAATCAACCAACTTCCTTGCATCCGACCACCTTAGAATAACAATATCGCCATTCTTACCATCCATCGCGCCATCCTCGTCTGTGCCCCGCCCTTCGACACGCGTATCTCCTAGTAAGCGGATAAACACAGCCGTATCGAGGTCCGGTGTATCTATCATGCTAATATTCCCAGCCGTATCGTTAAGATTCTGTAGCGGTGCCGGGAACGACGATAAGAACGAGGAGAGATAATGATTGTGGAGAAGAGCCTGGTGCCGAGTGGCATATGCGAGTTCAGGCGGTGAAAGACGAGCCCGGATGACGGGGTTGGAAAGGTAGTGTAGGGTATGCTTGTCGATCTGGCAGATAGACATACATACATACATGATTAACATAAGACCCAAGTGATAATTACGGGTATATGACTCACTTTGGCTATACGGGCTCTCAAGTAACTCCGCACCAAGTACTTATACCTCTCAAGCTCGGTCTGTATAACGATCAAAGCAAAGTTGGTCTTAGGATCCATATCGCCTGTCATTTCCTCGATTTTCTCGATCTGCTGCTTAATACGTTCGTTTATGCGCTCGAATAAGCCGTCGATCGGCCAACTATAAGACGGAAAGGGCTGTCAGTGTCGAATCATGAGGGATCCGGCGACGGCGCGGCATACTCGAGTAGCTCGGGTGAAGACCTCTCTGCGACCCAGGCGCGTGTTAACGCTTGTAAGTCGCGTGTGTCTTCAGGGATAGAATCGAATGTAGGATCGACCTCTCGTAATATGTCGTCGATATCCATTGCTAACGGTAGTCTTCTTATAGTCTTGGTATTTGTTTAGTGGAAGAGATCCGTGTATTTGCGTATATCCTCCTATAACGTTATAGGTCAATCGCGCTATATTAAAGAACTCACAGCGCGTATCTGTCGGGCGTTGATAATGAAAGTGATAGTAGTGGGGTAAATTTAACCCCACTGTACTACCTACTGTGCAGTACTTACATAGTATTGATTAGGTACCTATCAGTGCTTCCATGGCACTGGTTTCCACCATGCATCCCCTAGTTTGTGCCAAGAATGTTAATATAGCGGAACGTTGCCTGCCAAGATAAGCCAAGCCGGCTCTATTCCGAGCCTCATATTTCCCACGTAGATTCCCAGATACGCCAGGATGAACTCAATATACTCCAGCATGAAATAATATAACACTCTAATCCACAGTTGTATTCACTATAATGATAGTTGAGTATACGAGTTATAATCTCTTCGAAGGTGGACCTCTAGCGCCAGTGGGAGGCCTACAACTTATGACTTAGACAGGAAATAGAAACCATACTCATTTCCTGGCATTTCAAATGGTTTTATATTGCTAAGCTACTCGTTAATGATTTGAAACCGTTCCACCGCGGTGAACCTCCTCCTTTATAACGTATAATCAAGACTACGGTTGGCTTCATATACAACCATTCCTGTCTGATAGATTCAAACCTACAAAAGTGTTATTCTGCAAGTATAATAATAGGCATTATACTCCTTTCTCGGTAGTCGAAAACATTATCCAATAAATTCCGTGCTTACCAACGTCTCCCATGGCCTCTGCGTTTCCCATACTTTTTGCATGAGCCGGCGTGCATTATGAATCTAAAAGGCTGTCAGAAGTAGCCACTTAGGAGAGTAAACTCATCAAGCTTACCTGCGTCATCCCGTGATTCTCGGCTGTCATGAATCGCTTGAGTACTAGAGTCCTCTGTCCTTCATCAATAGCATCACATCCCGCGGTAAACATTGGAAACAGGAGGCAAGATTCTGCTGTCCCGCCCGGTCGAATACGGTCGAAGCAGTCGATGATCTTCTGTACTGCAACCTGGACGGACTTGTCTTCGGTTGGCTTCCCCATGATCCTGCGGTAGAGATGGACGAGCCCGGCCCAGTGAAAAGCTTCGTTCGTTGCCTCCATCTCCCGCCTATCCCACTTCTCTACATCCCCTTTCTTGTGTATGTGCTTGCAAGGCACCGGCAACTGGACCATGCTGTCCTTAATAGCTTCTTCAATCCTCGAGGCCTGCTCCAATACTTCGTCGCTTGGTTCCCACTCTTGTCTCACATCAAGGTCGTCACCGATGCGCTCGGTATCACACTTCCTAGCCAGGTCAGCAATCTTGGCAAGAAGGTAGATGCATCGTGTAGTGAAGCCCATGATGCAGTCTATCTCATCATAGCCATCTATAATGTCATCTACTTCGTAATCGAATATCCAGGTCGATGATGAGTCTTTCGGTCCCCCGCTAAGGCTTCCTATAACGTCAAGATATGCAGCCCAGCTCCATAAGAAAGAGCAGACCGGATCGTGGCGAAAGTTCGACTGGAATCCGCGAAGGCCACCTGGGCGTGCAGTTATGAGTTCTCTCGCAAGGCCTAGATGCCGTTGCCACGGCATATCATATCCGAATACCCTTGGTGAGATTATCTCGAGCGAAGCTAACATAATAGCCGTTGCGAGGTTCGCATCTGAGAAATTCTTGTCTGGGTCGTTCAGATCCTGCCTTAAGGCTGGAAATACGTTGTCAACCCAGGTGGCAATCCGAATCGTAGGCTCCGGGTGATTCAAAACGCGTGCTCTATGCGAAGCTATGTGTCTAATTTAGTAAGAGTTTAGCTACTTAGAGAAGTTGCCATCCTTACCAGAATATGCTAGTAGAAGTGCCAAGAGGTTATCATTCTTGACGGCCATCTGCGGGAGTATTGTCCGAAAGGGATTGGCATGTGGATCATCATAAGGAACAAGAACTACTTAGAGATTTAGTTTGTGGTTGACTAAGACAGGAAGGTTTGCTTACCTCGAGCGGTATGGTTCAAGAAATGATGCTAGTTTACAGGATATAAGTTAAGGCCCCATTGAATTGAATAATATAACTCACGAAGTACTGTCGACTATTAGATATGGCGCAGAGATCTTGGGACGGCGCTACTTACAAGAAGATTCATAGGGTTATCAATTAACCTGGCGAAATGTCAATACTCACTAGGGGGTTTGAACTTGTGGTTGACGGCTCTGACTTACTGTGTGGGAAGCGGCTCAAGGCTGCGAGGAATATATATCGAAACAGGCCTTGAATAATATCCACCCTCTTCTTCAATAAACTCATTAGTCTCGACCCCGAACCCAAATTCGGTCCAGACCAGATCATCGATCGGTTCAAGAGGGGTATCCAAAAATTCGCGCTGTAGTAACGGCGATGAACCACTGATGGCGATCATGTCTTCATTCTTGCCCAGGTCACGATCCGGAAACCCACGGTCAATGCCGTAATAGGTTGCTTCTGTTGACACACGCGTTCGAGTATCTATTGGTGGTAGGCTGGCCCTTACTCGACTGGCACTCTCGTCTTGTAAAGCTTGAGGACCCGGAGGTATCGACAAAAGTGAATTTACGGAAAGTCTCCGGCTAGCGTGACGTTGATCATCATCGCTGTATGTAGACGATGTTGTAGGGGTTAGAGGAGAAGCAGACGTTAGGCCAGAGCCAACTGTAAACCTGAAGGATGCCACACTCGAGTCTAAGGTCGAGCTGGCCGCTGAGTTGTGCCTCTGTTCAATCGGGTGCGCTGATTGGGGATCAGGAGTATGAAGATGAAGATCCGACGCCAGCTTTGCGCGCTTGCTGGCAGGCAATGATTCCGTATCGCCGATAGTCCTGGATGATGGATTGTCTAAAGGAACTGCTATCTGGGAAAGTGATCTATTACGGTCGAGCTTCGGCTGACTTTGTGGACCGGTTAGGGGCTCAAGCCTTCTCGTTCCTGGGTTGTCAGATGAAGGATATTGGTGCACCAGCTTGAATCCTCTGGCAGGCAAAGGCGGCGATAAGACTTCCTGGCTGAAATCTAGCACACCGGGCTCCGGCCGCTTTCCCCTTCGGCCTTCCCAGTTCAAACGGATGCTATAGTCACATTTTTCACCTGTTCTTTGACAGCTTTAATCAAGAACCGTTAGCTGTTATAGACTCTTGTAGAGGGAGATATCTAAGATGGAATATAAATAGAAATAGTTTACTTTAAACAATGGGGCCGCTCCTCGCCGCATTTGATCTTACGGTTTTTACACGGCCTGGTGAGAGAGTCAGCATAATAGCATAGCAGCATAGCAGGAGGAAGGGCTGAATAGTGAAGGATGATATACATACCAACATCCATTTCGACTTCGCCTTTTCGGTTCTGGTGCGCCGGGTCTTTTCGGACGTGGCATTATACGCCGGCGACTCTTACTTACGGTGAGTGGCCTAAGTATGGGAAATTGTACGAGCACAATATCCCTCGTTCCGACAGCGACCGCGGCGCATATTCGACATGCAGGACTCTCGGTTTGAGAGGCAGCTATTAACTGGGAAGGATTGTTACACGGCTCGCTGACCAATGCAGGACAATAGGAAGGATGAGATGGCACAGTTGCAGTCCAGTTATAATCCCGAGAAGTCGGTTGCGAGGAGAATACCAAATACCTTTCGTGATGGTGGTGGGAGGGCGACTTTATGATCGATCCGGGGTTGGGATTGGGAATGGGGAATGGGGATTGATATTATATAGCTCTTTGCCTTAAAACACTCTTCCTTGCAGGAAGTGACAGGCAATGACGAATATACTAGGCCTTGCTAACACCCTTTTCTCTCTTTCTTTCTCTCTATCTCTGGTCTAGGGATGCGTGAAAGATAAGGCCAAGACTAGGTACAGTAGGAAAGCCAACGGAACGACTGGGGATGATTGACCAGAGGGATATGGTAAGCGCACATTCTGCAAGACCCCGGGAATGCGAGTCCCGGAATCCCATACGATGACTGGAATTGGTCAAGTCCCTCTGCACTGGAACCGGGGATGATCACGTAGACTGCAATGTGGTAGGAGGACAAGGGCCCCGACGGCTCGGCTTCCAAAGAAAAAAGGTTAGTGTACGTGTGTTACAGTATAGAAATAATTAATTATATACTGTATATAATACACCACAAGTGCTACCCCGCTTTCCGCTCTCGCATAATTAAGCAACGTTAACTGGCTGCTATTTCTCTCAAACTCTTAGGGCAGGTATAATAAGATGGGGGTTATATCCGATAGGTATCCGATGCTTGACTCTATGCTTGTGTAATGGTATTCCTACGCTAGTAATATTTTGGTTAGACTTTTTCAAAATCTTATATATATTCGTACGTAAACCTCGAGATCCGAAAACTCGGTATCGTATCATGGTATTGTATATACAGTGTGCGCCTATTACTTTGAAATCGTGGGGTATCGTACCTAGGTACCAAGGTGCTAAGCTTGTGAAAATGGATGCGGCGAGGAACACATTTCACAAGGCTTAAGTCCTAAATAGGTGGGGTAAGGTTAAGTACCTAAGGTACCTAGGTAGATAGTGGGGTTCCATACCTCATATGTACCTAGGTACTACTTCATATCGGAAATCGTAATCCGTAAAGACCGATGAAATGGAAAAGCTTACCTAACCCATTATTTAGATTAGCTCTAGATTAGGAGCTTACTGGCAAGATGCAGCGCCGGGAATTTTTGGAGCTGTTCGTAGCCTCATCACAGCCTCGCCTCGAATACGGTGTTTCTTGAACCGATTGAGTTTCTTATTGGTCGTAGCTCTAGTAGAATTCAATAAAGCATTTGACCGACACAATTACGTCTAGCATCCCGGGGTTTATACGGGGTTTTCATCCACTGTTCCTTTACAACAACTTCGCAATACTCGTGTTTACAAAATGGCTGAAGTTAATAACAAGAGAAGTCACTCTGACTTCGCTGAAAACAATGGCGATGGTACGACCCTTTCAGTACCTATTCTACTAGGATAATGAAACTAACTTCCTACGCTCAGATAGCTCCTCGGATGACGATATGGGACCCCAGTTGCCCTCTACAGCAAGTGCACCCAAGAAGAAACGACGCGTTCTACCGCACGAAAAGCTCTATATCGAAGCGCTACCTAAGTCAGCACGCTACTCGAAATCTCTTATGCACAAGGAGCAGTTGGCTTTTGTGAATATCACGCGATCTGATTTTCTCATCACGACGTCTGTAGACGGTGTAGTCAAGTTCTGGAAGAAAGTTGAGCAAGGAATTGAATTCATCAAAGAGTTTAAGGCTCACCAGGGCGAAGTACGGTCAGTCTCGGTTAGCCATGATGGGCGGAGCTTTGCGACAGCCGGCATCGACAAAACCGTCAAGATTTTTGACGTTATCACTTTCGACCTTCTTGCCATGCTTCCCCTAGATTACGTCCCCAGATGCGTCTGTTGGGTACATAAACTCGGCGCTTCGTTACCGCTCCTGGCTGTCTCGGACGACTCGAAACCGTTAATTTATATATACGATGGGCGGGGAGAGAATCAGACACCGATACACACCATCAAGGGTCTCCATAGGAGTCCCGTGTCAATAATGGCCTTTAATGACGCCTTCGACTGTGTAGTATCTGCGGACGACAACGGAATGCTTGAGTACTGGTCCCCAAGCGCTAACTACGAAAAGCCGGAAAATGTGTTCCAATACAAGAGCTCTACCAATCTCTTTGATTTCAAGAAAGCGAAGTCAACACCGGTCTCCTTAACGATATCACCCTCGGGTCATCAATTTGTCACATTCTCCCTACCTGATCGTAAGATCCGAGTTTTCGAATTCGCGTCGGCGAAGCTGTATCGGACTTATGATGAATCTCTGCAGGTCATTGAAGAGATGCAACGAGCCGGGACATCCATGCAAAAGCTAGACGATGTCGACTTTGGAAGAAGGCTCGCTGCAGAGCGCGAGATCGAAACCCCTTTACTTCGAAATAAGGTCAATGTGATTTTTGATGAATCGGGCCACTTCATCTTATACGGTTCCATCCTTGGCGTCAAAGTGCTGAACACATATACTAACCAAGTTGTGAAAGTGTATGGGAAAGATGAACATATACGCCCAATCAATCTTGCTATATACCAAGGGCAACCTCAGAAGAAAGGTGTTACAACTGTAGAAATGGCTGCTTCAAGCAATCCCCTCTTGCAAGAATCAGAGGCGAGAGACCCAATACTCTTCACAACGGCCGTAGGAAAGGTTCGATTTTATATGTTTACGAACGACGAAGAAATATCCAGGTCAGAAAGAGATGTTCAGAACGAGAAGCCAACCATAATAAACCCTAAGCAAGCCACCCAGAAAAAGGCTGGCGAGACCGGCACAGCAGCCATTCTTCATACAACATATGGAGATATCCACATCCGTCTCTTCCCCGACGCTGCGCCGAAGGCCGTCGAGAACTTTGTAACCCACTCCAAACGCGGATATTACAATAACACCATCTTCCATAGAGTAATACGCAAGTTCATGATCCAAGGAGGCGATCCCTTGGGCGACGGCACGGGTGGTGAGAGTATATGGGGGAAGGAATTTGAGGATGAGTTCAGTACACTCAAACACGACAAGCCTTATACCGTCAGTATGGCGAACGCTGGCCCAAATACCAACGGAAGCCAATTTTTCATCACTACAGAGAAGACGCCATGGCTTGATAATAAGCATACGATATTCGGGAGGGCAGTGCAGGGATTAGACGTGATCCACAAGATAGAGAACGTACGAACGTACAAGGAGAAGCCCGAAGAGGATATTAAGATCCTTAATATCGATATAGCTTAAGTATGTGTATAAGTATGTAACTCGATAATAGTTAATTTAAATATAATGTCGTTATTAAGTTAAAAGCTTAAGATTAAATAATAGTTAATACTTACATATAACATTAATTAATCATTTTAAAAAATAGTGTATTATAAAATAAAAATTAAAAATAAAATATAATGTTATTATACGAATTTTATTAAAAAGGAATTATTAATTTTATAAATATACATATATTATAACTTTAATAACTTTATAAAATTATAATATGATTTTTATATTTTAAATATAATAATATATTAATTTTATATAAATATTTATCGTTTTTTTATTAAAATTTATTAATTTTATAATATAATTATATAACGAAATAAATAAATAAAAATATAACGTTTTTAAATTAAATTAAAATTTTAATTAAATAAATTATTTATATATGTTAAAATAATAATCACGTGTTTATATAACACGTGTATAAAATTAAAGCCGTATTTTAACTTATAATTAATTAAATAATTTATTTTTACATTATTTAATTTTTTTTATATTTAATTTAATATAATAATTAAATTAATATAATATTATTAATCATTTTATTATATGTTTTTTATTATAATATATTATATTAATTAACTTTTATTAATTTAATATTAATTAATGTTTAATTATAAAATTAAATATAAATTAATAAAGTTTAATAAAAAAAAAATTTTTTAAAAAATTATTAAAATAATGTATTATTTTAACATTAAATTATTACGTAAAATTTAAATTTATTATTTAATGTAAATAAATTAATCGGTTAAAATATACGTTAATTATTTATAAATTTAATAATTTTATAAGTTTTATTTAAATAATTACATTATAACTTTTATTATATTTTATTATATTAAATAATATAAATTATATTTTAATTATATTTTAAACTTTTTTTAACACGTTTTTTAATTTATAATATTTTATTAAATTTTATATTTATATATTTTATATTTCGTGTATTATATTTCGCCGTTTTTTAATGTTTTTTTATTTTAACGTTTTTTTATTTTATTATTATATTTTATTATTTATATATTTTTTATCGTACGTGTAAATTTTTAATTATAAATTTAAATTATTAAATCGGTTATTTAAATTTAATTTTTTTAAAGTTTTATGTTTTTTATATATTTTTATTTAATATATAAAGTTTTTCGCATTTTTTTAATTTTTTTTAATTTTTTTTAATTTTTTTTAATTTTCGAATATATTTTATAATTATTACGATATTTTAATATAAGTTTAACTTTTTTACGTTTTACGGTGGTTATTATAAAAAAATGTAAAATTATAATAATATTTATTATATAAAATTTTATCGCGTATAATATTTATTTAATTTTATAATATATAATGTTTATATGATTTTTTAATTTATAATTATTATTATTATTAAATAATATTATTTTAAGTTATTTTAATTATCCGATTAATTTATTATTATTTATTTAATAAATTATTATTTTTTTTATTATTTTAATTATTTAATGCGTTTATTATTTAATAATAAAATTATTATTTTTCGTTTTATATTATTTTAATTATTTAATACGTTTATTAATTAATAAAATTGTTTTTTTTTTTTATTATTTTATTTTTTAAGTTTATTTAAAAGATATTTATAACTTAAATTATTTATTATTATTTTTTATTAATTTTTTAAAATAATTATTTTAATATTATTTAACATTATTATATAATAATGCGCATTTATATTTACATTATTTTTTTATATAATTTTAAATATATTTTTAATATATTATTTTTTAACGCGGTTTTTATAATTTATTTTTAATGCGTTATTTATTTTATACGGTTTTAAATTAACGCGGTTTTTATAATTTATTTTTAACGCGTCGTTTATTTTACGCGAAACTACGATTTTAATACGATTTTAATAATTTTATTTTTAATTTATTTATAAAAATTTACGTTAAAAAAACGTTACGTAACGCCGAAAAACGTTAAAACGGTAAAAATGTTATTATATAAATAAATTAATCGGTTAAAATATACGTTAATTATTTATAAATTTAATAGTTTTATAAACTTTATTTAAATAATTATATTACGACTTTTATTATACTTTATTATACCAGGTGATGTGAATTATATCTTAATTATACCTTAAACTTTTTTTAATATTTAACGATTAAATTATTTAAGGCGCATTGCTTTAACAATTAAGCTGTTACGCATAAGCTCCCTTAGTTATTTTACGGCTCTTGCTAACTTAAGGTATTCGGAGCTTAATTTGTAAGCTCACAACACCTGCGTTTATCACGCACCGCAACAACCTCAAAGGTATTCGGGGCTTAATTCGTGAGCCCACAACACTTGTATCTGTCGCATACAAAAAACCTATTACGGCTACACAGATAGTCCCTTCAAAAATCAGCCTGCTATACCAGCCATATCAACAAACAAACCCTTTTACTAGGCACGTCTGTTACCACGGTACTCATATATCAACAAACAAACCCTTGATAGGTACGTTTGTTACTGCTACCACATTAATTTCAACCGCCTGCTGCAAGATAACCGATACCTATCACGTAAAGAGGTAAGCCTGAAAGATTACCGAAACAGTGTATTGCTTTAGCCATTAAGCTATTGCGTAAAACTTTAGTCATTCGACGGCTTTCGCTACCTTAAAAATATTCGGGGTTCAATTCGTGAGCCCACAACACCCGCGTTTATTACATATTAATCTACCGCCTACTGCATTAGAAAACCGATACCTATTTCTACCGCTTGCTGCTTAGACAGCCGATACACATACCAATATGAACCAATACCCGTATCAAGTATACCAACCCCCTCCGTACCAACAACCTCCGTATCGACAATACCAACCCCCTTCGTATTTACCTTAATATCAACCTTAATACCAGCCTCAGTACCAGCCTCCGTACCAACCTTAGGCGAATCAATTATACATGCCTTAGGCCCTGGCAAATCAATCATATATACCTCCCCCGGTGAATCGACAATATATGCCTCCGCCCCCGGTAGCGCTATAGGTACCGGAGCCGATTTTACAGTTAACGGTACCGAATCCGATACCTATAACAGACAATATAGCGAGGACCTGGGCAGACGTCTTCGAAAGCTACGTTGCCAACGAGTATGAAACCTTTGGGGACTGCAACCGTAGCCCCGCGGAGCTCGAGGTACTTGGTAAAAGAAAATTTAATACGTACGTGGCTAAGCGTATGTTATATTGCGAGGAGGTCGAATTGATAGATAAGGACCTTTGGGTCTATTTAAAAAAGGACTTCTACAATTAAACAGCAGCACTCTTTGCTAAAATGTCATCACACCTGCGTACTATAATCGTTGATTATTTGTATTACCACGGGGTGTACTGCGAAAGCCTCGGCCGCAATAACGCGGAAAGATTGGTAGCATTTATGAGCCTGAAAGAGTGGCCGGAATTCCCTATAGACCAAGAGCACGAGGAGGCTATTACGAAAAGAGAAGCTAGCCAAGGACTCGCTATTCGAAAACCAGCTCAATCGGGACCAACTGCTTCTAAAGCAGCTCAACCAGGAAAACCAGCTCGATTAGCTGCTTCGAAACCAGCTCAATTAGCCGCTCCGAATGATAGGTTAGTTTCGAGTAATGAGAAAGAAAAGAAAAAACTGCGAGGGAGGAATAAAGGGAATGATAAGGCTTAAGAAACAATTCGAAAAAATAAGGCTCGAGACAATTTATATGATGAGGAGGAGCGGATCACGTGTTACACGAGAAAAAAACATTGTTAATGTTAGAATAGTGATCACGTGCTCGTGTGATACGTGTGTGGGGCTAGGGCCGTGCCTTAGCTTATAATTAATTAAATAGCTTACTTTTACATTATTTAATTTTTTTTATATTTAATTTAATATAATAATTAAATTAATATAATATTATTAATTATTTCGTCGTATGTTTTTTATTATAATACATCGTATTAATTAACTTTTATTAATCCGATAATATAAGTTATTACGTATTATTAAATATAATAATAAAATTAAATTTATATAAAAGTAAAAAAAGTAATTGTTTTATTAAAAAGTTAAACTTTTTAATGGAAAAATATTTTATTAACTTTACATTATAATAAAAGGTGTAAAAATACCTGTAATTAAATAAAAGAAAATATACGAATTAAATATAATCAATTATATTTATAAAAACGTTAAGTTTATATTTTTCCTAATTCTTTTGCCTTTTTAATCGCATGATAAAGTTGGTGAGTTTTAGTGGGAAAATCGTGGGTGTTTGCATAAGATTGATAGGTTAGTGTACATCTACGTCATCCCGAAACGTAGTACTACAGGAGGCAACCCCATTGGCTTGCACAATAGCCCTGAGTTTACGAATAAGTCAAGCAAACCGATTAATTTGATTGGTTGAATCCCTAATGTGGCCGCCCTGCCTCGCCGCGCTGGGGGTCACGGGCGCTCGGCACGTGCTTCGCACGTGCCTCGCACCCGTGACCCCCGCGCGGCTCGGCGGGCGGCCACACAAGCCATAGGTACAACAAGCCCCCAAGCCACACACAACCCCCCCGAGCCACGGTTCGAATCCTCGACCTCGCATCCCTTCCTTTCTTTTACGCATTACTACGCAGGCAAAAGCGCAACGCTTTGCGCGCCGCGCTTTTGCCTGATTCGTAAGCAGGTCGAGCTCCGTTGACCCCTTTGTTGGCGTTGTTGCAGCCGAAAGCCGCAACAACGCCAGGCCAGGAGCCTTATGGCTGATTACGTAGCTGTGGCTGTAGCCAATCCAATTGCCAGGCCAAGCTCGCTGTGGCTAGTCCAGTCCCCATTACATAAGCAACTTTCGTCGAAATCTCGACTGAGCCCACTTTATCTCCGGATGCACCCAATCAAATCTCGAGGAAAATCCACTTCATTAAACGAGGCACCCAATCAAATCTCGAGGAAAATCCACTTCATTGAACGAGGCATCCAATCAACACATGAAAAAATGACCAGGGCACTTCCATTTCTAGTAGTCTTATTTTCCTATTTGGGCCAAATAGGAAGGTGATGTGGGTCCCCAGCGAAAAAAAAAATGCGACACAATAACCCTTCGTAAACTCAGGGCATAGATATGTTTATTTAGTTCTTTTAGTAGATAGTAAGACAATATAAGATATACATACCTCATAACCTGCGTTTAATTTCAACAATTTCCATGATCTTGACACAGAGGAAGCCGTGTAAGGATGCCTGTGTATTACAGTAAACAATGGGCAGGTCGTGATATTAGGTAATTCTTTACATTTTAGAACGGATGTTACAGCTAGCTATGAACTGACAATCTGTCAGGATTAGGTGCCCTAGTGAGGTGAATCATGCATAGAGTGAGTGTACAGGGTAGTAGACCAAGAAGTGATTGTATTGAACTTAGTAACGCCTGGCCTTTTTCACCTGACGAGGGCGCTTCGCGCCTTTTATATACTCGTATAGACCCCTGTAGCCACCCTAACCCACTATACCCTGACACAATCATCATCGACACACCGCGTTTATCAAGTAACAATACTTAGTGCTCGCCCTGTTTTAGTAGTTGCTGTGTTTTGGTCACCAAGGCCACCGCCTCTGCCGTCAACTCTCTGACCTCCTTCCTCTTTTTGTAACCTTCGATATATCCTTCTGGTCACCCGGAATACCTCTCTAAAGAACCGGCACCCTAAAGGCTGCTCGAGAATACGTCTGAATATGAGCAGGATGTGGAAGCCAGAGAAACAAGAAAACTCGAGGGATATAGATGCCATCTTCTTATTGAGATCATCTATCAGGCTATTGCCAGGTCGAGGACCAGGGCAAAGTAAAACGGGTGGGTGGCAAGGAAGAGCCAGAAGCCGCGGTCATGAACATGATTTATGATGCGGATGAGGAAGATAAGGCGGATGATAAGTTATAAGGGTGGCTACCTATTCACCTGCAGCCATGTGCCAGAACAACATGACCAACCTGTTCGTAATGAAAGTGGCAAGCCAAGTGAAGAGGCGTCATCTTGAAGGAGGAGTTATATGTCTCCGCCGGAACACCTCGGTCTAGAATGTGTCCTTCTCGCCACCCTTTTTTCCATCCTACAGCCTTTGCGGCATCCCCCCCCTTTACCCATCCTTCATTGTGCCCCTCTCTCCACCCATCTTTCCATCCCATGGCTTTTCCAGCCTCTAAGCCGTGGTGCCGGCCCACCAGCAAGAAGAGCAAAGGCATCCCAAGGATGGTGATAGTGATTCCCACGCTGAAAGCCATCCAGAAAGCCTCAATGATGGCACTGGAGGCGGCGGCGAGAGAGGTAGCAATACCGGTGGTTATAGCGGTTTCGGTGACAGTAGTGGCTGTGGTTACTGTGGTGGTTGTAGTAACCGTGGTAGTCAAGGTGCTTAGGGGTATGGTTTTAGAGATAGACGCAGGAGCTTGGGCGGCCTGGTCCAGAGTCCGAGGCTAATCTAAAATTATCTTAGCAGATTCAAAAAAGGCTCGGGACCGCTCAACAAATCTTAGATTTTCTAATCCCACGAAGCAGGATATTAATTGTACGGAGGTTGAAATATAATAGGTGGCTGATTAGATGTATGTCCTGAATGAGAGGTGGTAGGGGGCTGGTTAGAGGTGTATACCGGGTAAGGAGTAATAGATGATTGGATAGATGTGTGTTTCGGATTAGAAGTAGACTTAGTTATATGTATTGGATAAGAAGTAGGGGGTTGGCCAAACGGGTATATTGGATGAGAAGTAGGGGGCTGGGGAAATATATATACCGGATAAGTAGTAGGCTGGCCAAATGCTTGTCCTGGGTGAGAAGCAATAGGTGGCTGGTTAGATATATATCCTGGATGTGCAAGTACCTAAGTAGGTTGAGCAAAGATATGTTCCAAACGTAAGGTAGGCTGACTAAACGAAGGTCCCGGGCGAGAGACGAGGTGTGTATAGGGGGAGACAGAGTCATAGACGTATGAAATGTGGACATGGTCATTGTCTTGGTCTCCGTTTTCTTTGGTGTTGGCGTCGACAGCTCTATACTATCTCTTGTGGGAAATGTGGTTAAGGAGGAAGAAAGTAATAAGATTGAAAATACTGCGAGGTATTTAAGTAGTTTCAGGTCAAACTTGTTCATCTGTCCTGCCCTTCCTCTACGAATACTGGCATGGGAAAGAACTACGGGAAGAACTATAGAAAGAACTATCAAGGAAATAGAAGGCACAGCTCATAATTTGTTTTATAGGGAAGCCTATCTCGTTGATAATGAGTGGGGCGGATGCAGAGCAATACCTAAGGCTTGAGGCCATCTGATAGGTAGTGGATAGCTCCTTCATGAAAAGGGCGGACGCGATATCCAGCAGAAATAACATGTTCGTCAGGAGTGGTATGTATGTCGCTGCTGCTGTTAGATTCCAATTGATACCTACGTATTCCAAAACGTAGTTGAACTCTTTATAAGGTGGTTAGAAACCTTACGTTGGGTACACATAAAGTTAATTTAGTTGGGTGACTCAAATTACCTATCCAAGAGGTACATATAAGGGAAGGACTTCCTACCTTAAGAACCTCATAATTTAGGTATGTAGCTGCAAAACCACATTCCTTCCGTTTCACCAACTGCAACAAAATCATCAAGATGATCTTTGCAAGATCCCCAAGCCCATTATGCAGGCCCATTACTATGGCAGTTGTCCTGGCCTCGATGCTCCGCCTTATGCGCGATCTCGAATACCTCCTGCCGCATCACGATGTAATATTATTAATATCGACTCTACTTTGGCTCTTTATTTTCATTTCTATTATTTATCTATTTTGTGATTCCGGTACCAGTGAGGAAGCCACAGATGGGTTCTTTACTTTTACAGAGCCTAAGTTAGCTGGCGTTCTTGCTGTGGGGGTGTATATTCATTGTAAGCCTGTGAACGAATCCTTCGTATGGGTTCGTGATATTTTCTGGTGGTTCTGGGCGGCATACATGGCCGAAAGATTGTAAGTAACTACCTACCTACTTTATCGTGCTCTCGTTAAAGTAGTAGTTGCTAATTTCAAATCTTGCAGCACCCATGTTATTGAAAGGTTGTTGTATGCTTTATCTCATTGAGGGCCGGGTATGGGTATAATCTTATCGCTTACTATGTATCTTGGTTGTTATGGATTAAATCGTATGTAAAAAGGCATGGGATTCCTTTTGGTAACGAGCTTGAGTTTCTAATTAATTTATTGGTCAATACACAGTAAAAGACCCCTGACTTAACCCCTACCCGGCGCACCGGGACCTATACTACTTCAGGACTAGCGTCTTAAACCAGGCGACATCGGCGGTGAATTTTTGAAGTTGTGAATCATCCCACTTTCTTTATCACTTATCGCTGCCCCGCCATAGCATCACCCATTTCAAGTAACAGTAAAGTTCACTATTTACTATTTACCTAGATACAAATTTAATAGAATATCGTGAGTGGTAAAACCTTACTCATTCGACTCAATTGGCTTTATTCTTAGGAACCCAACATGGCTCCAACAATACTACATCTACGCTCAGAGGATAAGCCTCTTGAGCACCGCTCTGCCCTCACCCCCACCACAACCAAGGCCTTGATCGATGCTGGTTACGTCGTCAATGTCGAGAAGAGCCCCGTCCGAATCTTTGACGACGAGGAGTTCAGTGCCGTGGGAGCTACGTTAGTCCCTACCGGCAGCTGGCGGGAGGTACCTGAAGACCATATTATCGTTGGTCTCAAGGAGCTCCCCGAAGAGACGTGTAAGTTGAGTCAAGTTATTTCAACACTTAAATCGGTGCTAATTTCTAATCAATTAATCGTATAGTCCCTCTCAAGCACGTATTTATCCACTTTGCACACTGCTACAAACAACAGCGAGGCTGGGAAGCAGTCCTTGCTCGTTTCCCTCGCGGCGGTGGCACCCTTCTCGATCTCGAGTTTCTCCAGGAGCCCGAGACGGGACGTCGTGTAGCCGCCTTTGGATACCAGGCTGGCTTCAGCGGCAGCGCCCTGGCTATCAAGAACTGGGCTTGGCAACTGACACACCCGGGCGAGCCCCTACCCGGCGTCGAGAGCTACCCTAACGAGGACGCGCTGGTCGCTGATATCAAGAAAGATCTGGCTGCGGGACAGGCTAAGGCTGGCAAACTACCTAGGGTCATCGTAATCGGTGCGCTGGGTCGATGCGGTCGTGGCGCGGTCGATTTGTGCCTCAAGGTCGGCGTGCCCACAGATCAAATCCTCAAGTGGGATTTAGCCGAGACGGCCAAGGGTGGCCCTTTCAAGGAGATTGTCGAGAGCGACATCTTTGTAAACTGCATCTACTTGTCGTCTGAGATACCTCACTTCGTCAACCTGGACTCGCTGAAGGCTCCTGGACGTCAATTGAGTGTCGTGTGCGATGTCTCGGCTGACACAACGAACCCTCACAATCCTGGTGAGTCAACGTTCCTCAAAACCGAGTCCCTTACCAACTGTACTCAATACTGACGCGTATTATAGTCCCCATCTATACCGTTGCCACAACGTTCACCAACCCTACAGTACCTGTCGAGGGGCTAGAGGACCCTCCTCTGAGCGTCATCAGCATTGACCACCTACCCAGCTTGCTGCCTCGGGAATCTTCCGAGTCGTTCAGCAATGATCTGCTACCGTACCTGCTTAAGCTAAACGACTGGAAGAACAACCCGGTGTGGGCCGGTGCTTACAAGCTATTCCAGGAGAAGGTGGCGACGCTACCTAAGGAGGCACTGGAAAGCTAGATGGATTGTCCGAGATATATGTTGTTGCAGCGGTGGTATTTCCGCAATAAAAAGAAAAGATGGGTTGGCGTTATGGGACAATGTAGACAAAAAAGACCGTCGGTAAAGAAGTCACTCAAAAGTTTCGCAAGAGTAGTTAAACTATAATGAACGAAAATAGCGTGAGCCAAAAGTCGTAGCTGAAGTTCCCTTTTCCGGGCTGTGGCGTATCCCGTAATAATACCATATGATTGAGGTTGACGTAGAAGAGTCCTCGTTACAATTCGTAGGCGCCGTTGCAGTATTATATACCTGGCTTATGCTAGTAGTTAATCTTGGACTTTGCATTGTCTATTACCCCCTTTTTGTTTTTGTTTTACGAGGTACGCAAACGTCGCAGAGAATCGTCTCGGAACCAAAACCCCGAACTCATTAACATGTCTATCCCGCCAGTGAACGCCGGAGATGCATACACGCCACGTACCTATACACATACCCATCCTCATCTTCATCCTTACCCTCTCCACTCTCTCTCTCCCCCGTTCTTTCTTCTCACCGCCTTCCCCCCTCCCCCTCCCCCTCCTCCGCCGGTCTTCTTCTCGTCTGCCCACCGATCCTCTCCGCCCTGCCCAGCTTCTCGAGCTCTTTCCTGACGTCGTCGGGGTCGCGCTGCGGCAAGCCCCACCACTCGCGATGGAAAGCCTCCTGCTCGAGCTTGCGGCGCTCCTTCTGCTCGCGCTCGCGGGCCCGCTGCTGCCGCTGCGCGAACCATTCCTCCCGCGCGCGGTCGTGCTCCTCGGGCGTCGCGTACGTCTGCATGCACCCGTTCATCCGCCGCGACGCGTCCCGGCACGCGAATGCTATCGTTAGCGTCCGGTTCCGCGCGCAGTCTGCGAATGCTGTTTGCCGTGGGGGCGATGTTAGTATTTATTGAGTTTATTACGTGAGCGATAAGGGTAGATTATATATATATATAGGGTAGGGGGTTAACGGTTTGGTTTGGTTGTATCCATTGGATAGGTAGCTATGCATGTAGGTACCTAGGTAGGTAGGTAAAGAATACGTGTGAGGAGTTAAACCGACCTTTAATCTCGTCTGCGCACTGATCTCGTACGCGCTTGTTAAACACCTCTCGAACCTGCGCCTCTTGACTTGCTGATAGCGGCAGAGGGTTGCGGGAAGGCATCGGCAGGCCTATATCTTCTGTCCTCCTATTGTTATTCCCCGTACTACGACTACTGCTGCCGCCGGGGGCTATCGGGGGTTGTTGAGCTGCCATTGCGGCGGCCATGGACTGTCGATCGTTGGCGGGGAGAAAAGGTTAGAAGTAGGCGGGATTTGGTATTTATTTTTGCCTTATCGCTCTAGCATTATATGCTCTCCATATGTATGTTGAAGATTGGCAGCTATTGACCGTACCTTAGGTTAGGTAAGGTAGGTAACTTCTCGTTCGGTCGTATCGATTGTGGTGGTGAGATCGGCGAAGCTCCGTACCGTAGCTTTATGTATAACTGCATTAGCTATTTTGCCATATTTCACCGCCTATTATAATCATGCTAGAATGGGACCATCCATAAATATGCAATTAAGAGACAATAAATAATTTAGCTAAGTTCGTGCTCTTAGGTCTTAGTTATATAAGAGGATAGATAATACTATATATTTTCGCTTATATGTCATCACGCGTGAGCATTTATTTTGTAGATCCTTAGAATAAATAGTTCGGACGCTGACGAATTTTGTAGCTATGGTTTGTCGCAATATCCGCTTTTCCCCGACCGTCAAAATCACATAACCGCCATCACCTAACAGCTTACTCTAGTACAGGTGTATTCGGCGCAGACTCTTCTCTCTCCAGGTCCAGACTCTCCTTTTCTTTACCCGTCTTTTTCTTAATCGTGAACCGAGAACCCCAGCTGACTGACTTGTCTTTAGCATGTCTGCTCGCGCTCGTGGGTCCCAGAGATGGGCTGCTATGGAGGCTGTCATAGCTGCAACCAAGCGTTAATCCAGGGCCGCCACCACTGCTGTCTTCCGCATATTCGTCGAAGCTGCTGCGTTCGACTGATGCGTTTTTATCCGAGTTGGTGACGCTGCTTGGGCCCTTCTTAGCGCCCAGACCGCGTACCGATGATGTAAAGCTAAATTTCGAAGAGCTCCCCTTACGCAGTAGTTTTCTAAACCCGCTTTCCTGGTCTTTATTCCCAAAAGCGAATGCTTGGTCAGAAAGAGTGTTAGAGAGCGGCTGATCTAAAGTGAGCGACTCGCGCGATTCGGTGACGGATGGTGTACCAATGCTGAATGCGTCGCGGGATTTGCGGGACTCTGATGGCGACTCATCTACGGAAGGCGCCGCAGCTTCGGACGCTGACGATAAGGAAACACGAGGTCTCTTCTCCTTAGCCAAGTCCCTATCTTTAGCTTTACCTTTTCCTTTATCTTTCGCGTCCCTCAAATCCTTATCCGATTCTTTTTCTTTATCAAGTTTGGTACGGAATAAACCCGCCATAAAGGTAGGCGCAGCAGGATTGAGACGTTGACTGAGCGTCTTAGAGGATGGCTTGGTGCCAATGACTCCCACCTGGCTAGGCAACGCGTGTAATAATTCAGAGTCGTCGAGAATTTCGTCATCGGCGTCAGCTAGGGTGGTTTTTAGTGCAGACGGTGAGCCATGGATGGAAGGTCGCCTAGACGGATTCCGTGAGGCTGCCCACGGACTGTCATCGGCAGACCAGAGTCGACTATGTTGAGGACCCCGGGCCCAAATAGAAGAGTTCTCGGTAGAAGGACGGGGTAATTCGGATGAAGCGATAGAAACAGGTCTAGGGCTGCTTGGATCGCGCTCGGAAAATATGTTACTTCCGATACTAGGAGCGTTCGCGGCGAGGCCAAATCGGTGCGAATGTAGACTTCTCGCGCTGGGGCTGCCTGTGTCTAGGATTTCCGATCCCGTAGAGTTCCGATTGAACACATTCCAACCAGACGAAAGACTAATTCGTCGCCTAGTCGGAATAGCGTCTCCATCTTCTGCTGAACGAGGTAATGATTGTGTCTGGACAGATTTCAAAGACCCTAGAGCTGGTGGTTCATCGACTGTCTTAGGGCCGCGGTGAAGCCATGGTAAGAAGCTCCGCCTGTTTGTAGATTGAGGCGGCGGAGGAATGGGCGATGATGTTGCGTTGAGCTCTCTAATTCCCTTGAGCGATCGACGCTCACTATTTTCACCGGTATACTGAGAGAATGGTAAATGGTGAGAGGAGCCTTGCGGGCTAGAGAAAATACTAAGTGAGCGGGTCGATGAAGTAGGCGACTGGGGGTTGTTCTCAGGAGAAAATGCCGAGCCAAATGTATTCTGTCGTGACGGTCGAGAGTTGGGACTGGGGGGCTCATCGTCCACAAGATCATCAAGCATTCCCGCAGGTAACAGGGAAGTTGCCGTAGGACTGAGCGGTGCACCACCGGTAAGTTGTCGCAAGCGTTCTTCGTCGGGTGGGCCGGAGAAGTCGGGATTATGTTCTATGTACGGGCCTTGGGCGAACCCGGGAGGAATGGTAGGAGGTCGGGAGGGTCCAAACGTGGTTGGCGGTCCGTATTGCCGATCCGCCATTGGAAACGATAAAACGGGCGACGGCATGGCTACGTTGGAGAGCGAATTGCTGTTCCGGCTTCGCCGTTTAAGCTGGTTTTGCGACCCTAAGTCGAAATCAACCCCTGACGAATTTGCCTGATTGTACATGAAAGGAAGACCGGACTGTTGCGCCGCTGCTAACTGGGCCTGGAGTACATTTTCGTAATCGGTAACCATCCGTAGTTTCCTGTTGGCAGCGTAGAGCCGTCGTTGCAAGTCCCTGGCTCGGATTTCCCAATCTCTCCTAATCTGACGGTCTTTCTCACGCCATTCCTCGCTCTCCTCTCCACCAGGCAATTTCTTCCTCTGCTCCTCTGCCTCTTTTAGCTCCTTGCTCTTTTCCTTGAGTTCCATCTCTTCCTGGGCTAGGCTCGCCTGCGCTTGGGTAATCTCAGCACGTAGCTCTTTAGCTCGGCCATCGCCTTCCTTTTGACAAATATCCCGGTCTTTTTCAAAAGCGCTTTGGCGTTTTTGCATCGAGGCAATATCCTTCTCCCATTTTGCTATATCATCATGAAGCTTTTGTCGCTCGGCCTGCTTTTCCTTTAGTAACTTTTCCTTCTGGGATTTCCGTTGCTGTGCGCTCCTCATAGCACGTTCCGTCGAGCCCATTTCCCTCTTCAATTTTTCAGTCGTGTCGTCCTTCTCCTTCTGTATGCGCCTCTTTGTCTTTTTCTCTTCCGCCAACTCATCTATCAATTCCTTGTGCTCTTTCTCATCCTTGGCAATCTGCGCTTGCGTCTCGTCAATCTCTTTTCGGATACTCTCAAATTTTTCTCCTAGCTCCTGCAGCGACTCCTCCGAATCTTTACTCAGGGCATCTTTGATAGATTGATCTATACTAGTCGTAGAAGGCGAATGCTTGCGTGTTAGAGTATTTCGTCTTGGGCCGGTCAGAACGACTGGGTTAGCTTCCCGTATAGATACTACGGGGTTATCCGGAACAGAGGCTGTTTCCACGCCAGCAGCAGAGCCCCTGGTAGCTCCATCTTCATCCCCGTGATCGCTGGGCATAGCTAGCTGCTGCTCTTCGGGAACAAAGTTGGACGGCAGACGACCGTCTCCGAGTTGAGGACGACCATCTCTCCCGTATGTTCGTAGGCGTATCACGCGACTACCCGCTTGGAAATTGTTATACCCAACAGCAATGACCCTCACGTTGTAAAAGTGATTTGGCTTTAGGCCCGTGACCGTAATAGCCGTCTCTTGGTTTGCGGAATCGCCAACTAGAGTAGCGATTGTTAATTTTATGTACGGAATTACAAACACCACCACCCCATAACTCACCATTGACGCCATTGACTTGTATCGTGAACTTCGCAACAGGTCGGGTAGGCAGCGGGCGTGTCCAGTTGAGCGTGGCAGCATCGGCACGAATCCCTGCTAACGAGACATCAGGAGCGTCGGGCACCTCGACACCAAGGACACCGATGAGTTCGTTGACAGACTTTCTTAAGGTCTGGACAGCTCGGTGGGCTAACCTACAATATTGCGACAGCGTCAGATACGGGGAGAACAGCAGGCAACAGGTAGCAGGATAGAAATTAGGTACATACCACGCAACAGCTATGCCGGTGACAAGCATATTAGTATGATAGAAGACCAAAACGTCGAGTCGTAAGATTTTGGCGGCGTGGATGCTGAACTGGTAGATCTGATAGGGTGTCGCCTGGGCTAGCTCGGGTGCCACAGCCCAGTAGAAGAGGACGCAACCGATGACAACTATCAGGTTTAGATGGGTCGTCTTGGGCTCAATAAACCACCAGGCCAGCAGAGCGCAGACGAAGAGAACGGTAGGAACAGACGTCGGCCATGGGGTCCATAACATATCGCCGTGGTCGAGAAGCCAGACTATCAACAAAGAAAAGAAATATTACCCAAGAGGGAAGAGAGGAGGGGGGAAGATTAAAAGAAAAAGAGAACGTGAAAACATACAAAATGATTGGAAAATGTTTCCTCCTCCCGTCCTCCCGTCGAATTGCCTCCTCTAAAAAATGTGGATACCCCGGCTGAAGTTTGGGGGAATAATGGAGGCTTACCGGGCTACCAGGCTGTCAAAGAGCGCTAAAAAATTGAGACGCACAAGCTGCACCGACATGGCAGCATGGGGAATTACCCATGTGCGCATACGGCGTTAGCGGGTTAAAGCTTCCTTCGTCGGTGCTAACACTTTGTTTTAGGCACCTAGATAGGCAGGTATGTAGGCAAGTGCGATTAAGCTTATTGCTGTTCAAACCTACCTCACCAAGACAGGTATTCGGCTTGCCTTAGATGGCTCTATCTTAGATCAATCTTAATCTGGTAAAGAACTAAGTACCTAATCAAGGCTGGCTCTAATAATTAGAAACGTATAAAGTTTATCGTTTAAATATGAAGATTATAATATAAACTATTTTTTACGATATTTGAATCTCTCCTACGATAGCTGCGTGCTTTATTTGTTTTATTTTTTATTTTATTTTAAATTTTTTTTCCGTTAATACAAATAATGAAGCCAGCTTGGGGATTTGTAGCCAGGCAGTCAGGCAGTGAAGGCTTCATAAGCACTTTTCGTGGAACGAAACCCTAGAAATAGAACATGTCACAAGCGTGCCCTAGATCTGCACCGTCAGATACCTAGTCGGATATGTACTTAATCAGCACCTCGGTAGCGTTGTGCAACAATGCCTAGGAAGCTTGGTGAGAACTTCGTCCAATTGAAATAGCGGTTCGGCAGTGCGAACTGGCGCTAAGGATTGGGTATGCATGCCGTACCCCCCGATGCCCCGATGCCCCAAACTTCTTATACCCGGCCTGCTGACTTGTGGTTTATAGCCTGCTGTGATAACTGGTTGAACACTGCAGCTCTCCTCCAAGAGTGCACGGATGTAGACTGAAGGTCCAAAGATCTTCTCCAAAGATCTTCTCGCCATTACCATTTATGGTTTGCCCATCTCCCGAACCCCATGGGGGACTGCCAACGGAAATACATACTGGAAGCACACGATAAATGTTGCCATACAGGTGCAGTCCCGATGTTACTGGTCACTTTGGGTAGCTTTAATGTTACAGCATGTATGCGAATAGACGAGAAGAGCAAAGGACTAGGACTAGGCCCTGTTTAGATCATCAGAGGTAGCTAACATACCTATCATATAACCCCCAACTCCTCCTCAATATAAACGAAACGGAATTATCGAAGACAGCACACACACAACTACCTATAAGACAGTGAGATTAAAATGTCTCGCCTCACATATTTTGCGCATATTTATACCCTACCATTCGTCATCACCCATCTTATGCACGTCGATATCTTTTGGATCTTGCTCTCCAATAATAGCTAGGAAGCATATCGTAAAGGTCTCTTCTACTTTCTTACTAACAGCACATATTTACTTCAATATTCTGTCACCAAGTTACTTGATAAGTTTGATAACTATGTAGTTAGGTACTAAGTTATTGATTGATAAAAGTAGGGAGTTTTAACTAAAATAAGCTTGCTAGGTACCTATTTAAAGGAGCTTCGAGAAGAAGTCAAATAAATTAGGTGCCTCACTTACAGAATCACGAGCTATGTACAGCATTACCGTGGTTTCGGGATTGCACAAGATAAAATTATTGGAACGGGAGCCACTCGGTTTATAGCGGGTTAGCGCATTTTTGATGAAGCAAGTCAGCTGCATATATGTACCTAGAGTCTAGATGCTAGAAGCCATCAAATCAGCTGCTGTGGTGCGAAGTTGGCATTGGTTCCTAGCAGACATTAGGCCACAAGCACCCTGTAAGGTCTTGCGCGTGGGGGGTCCACTTTAGAGAAGCATGTGTCATTGACCCGCGGCTCTGCTTGGCTACCTACCTCCTTATACATAATGTTGAGTTTATGTAATACAATAAAATAATACTTCTGATGTACAGGAGTATTGCCCCCAAAAATACGACATGTGTAACTTTTAGTGTCAAATTTGCTTGCATAAAAAGTTGTAGCCGGCCGCCTTTTCTCAACAAGGTCGCCGTTGTCTATTAGATTCCCGCCTCGTCCCACCAACCTGGTTTAATTATACGACCTTCGTCATAAATCCTACCTTCGACTCTCCCCCTTTCCTGACGCTCGTTTTGTTATTTACAGCTTCCTAAAAATACAACGGTATAATTTCCACTATACTATATTTTTGTTTCGAACCCGTTGCTATTGATATTGAGATCCGTAACTACATACGTCACCAGTCAACATCGTGCATCTGTACCGAAGAGTCGGAATCCTTTACCCTCTTAATCTACAATCCCTCAACCTCATTCCAAGCGACGCGACAAGCAAACAATAGCTTTTAATTCACCATCACCAGTCTCGAACGAAACCCAATCGACCACGTCGAACTATACGTCGAATTACGCTATTATAGATCTCTTAGAATAAGTCTGGTTTCGCAAGGGTTTGCCTCGGTTTATCATTTTAATTGACTATCTTTTTCCCCTTTCCATGGTCTCGGGGCCGACTTCCTAATTGTGAACTGAACAACGTCAACCTTTCTCGAAGATGCAGTACGTTCGGAATATAAGCGACTCGGTTTCTACAGCCTGGAACTCGATCAACCCGGCTACATTAAGCGGAGCAATCGATGTGATCGTAGTACAGCACGAAGATGGCACTCTATGTTGTTCCCCTTTTCACGTCCGTTTCGGGAAATTCTCGCTGTTGAGACCGTACGAGAAGAAGGTCGAGTTTAGGGTCAATGGCGTTAAGCAAAACTATGCTATGAAGCTAGGGGAAGGGGGTGAGGCCTTCTTCGTCTTCGAGACAAACGATACCATTCCCCAAAGTCTCCAAACCTCACCTCTTAGCTCTCCCGCTTCCAGTCCCCCCCTTGGGCCCGTTAGGTCCTATTCATCGAACGAACTCCAAGAGCCCGACTTCTTGCAGCTGGATAGCGACTCTAGAAATGCGCTGTCTACAACCGCGTCGCGACCTAAACCAACAGTTCTTCCCCGCCCAGGTTTGTCACCGCGAAATTGGCATCCGAACCTCTAAGACAATAGCTGATACTTGTGTAGGCGTAACTGAACCCGTTGCGTCCTCACCTGAGTTAGGTAGCGGCCGACCAGTCTCAAGAGGGTGGTCCAATACCCCAAATCATCCATCTTATAGCGAGGAATTATTGCCAGCTCCTACGTATGCAATCCACGAGCAAGATGACTCGAATAATGGTGACCTGCACGAAGCCGATAGCGCAATTTCCCAAAGGTCACGAAGCCCACCTCCTGTGGCACCCCGAGAGGCTATTCGACGAGCTATGACCCTATCGAAAGAACTCGAGGCAGTCAATATACCTAGCCGAGTAACTGAAACGGGTGATCTTATGTTAGATATGACCGGTTATAAATCCAGTGAAGAAGACGCGATCAAAGCTGAAATTCTAGCTCGGAAGATATTATCTGAAGAACTCCAAGGCGACTACGATATTGGCGCACTGTTTGGAATGGACGAAGAAGGAAACCTTTGGATATACAGTAGTGAGGATGCGAAGGAAGCTGCAATGAAGAGGACTGTGGCGTCTCTCCGGCCGTCGCCTACGCTTGCCATTGATGCCGCATCCGACCCCGGATATCAAAGCGATGATTCTACTACCTCGACACAATCACCTTCCCACCGGAGAAGCGAGTCAGACGTTGGCCAAAGTTTCATTCAGACGCCACCGACTACCCCGGGCTCGTCGGCGTCGGCGGGAAATCCAAATAGAAACTACGCGAAAACCCTACGGCTAACTAGTGATCAACTAAAGGCGCTAGATCTGAAACCTGGCGAGAATTCTATGAGCTTTACCGTAAATCGCGCCACATGCCAAGCATACATGTTCCTCTGGCAGCATGATACGCCTGTCGTTATTTCTGATATCGATGGTACTATAACCAAGTCCGATGCTCTAGGCCATGTGTTAAATATGATCGGACGAGACTGGACACATGCGGGGGTTGCGAAGCTTTACAGCGATATTGTCGAAAATGGGTACAATATCATGTACTTGACAAGTCGTTCGGTTGGACAGGCCGATACAACGAGAGCATATCTCTACGGTATTGTCCAGGACGGATACCGTTTGCCTAAAGGCCCAACGATCCTATCACCTGATCGGACAATGGCGGCGCTGAGGCGAGAGATCTACCTACGGAAACCGCATGTGTTTAAAATGGCAACCCTGCGAGATATTAGAAGCTTATATGGCCCTGACAACCACTGCTTCTATGCTGGCTTTGGAAACCGTCTTACGGATCAGATTTCTTACAGGACTGTGGATGTGCCAAGGAACCGAATCTTCACCATTAACTCTAATGCCGAGGTGTCGCTGGATTTGCTAAGCCTTAATAAGTTAAAGCTTAGCTACGTGAACATGACGGAAGTCGTTAATCACTACTTTCCTCCTGTTAGCACTCTTGTCAAGGGTGGCGGTGTTGAGTACACCGATTTCACGTATTGGCGCGATACTCCCTTGGAGCTAGACGAGTTCTCAGCTAGCGAATCCGAAGATCGCGCAGACGACAGCTCCGCAGACGAGGAGGAAGACGAAGACGTCGGAAACATGGGCGATAGCTATCTCTCCCGAGGAGATGATGAGGAAGATGAAGATGCCGATGCTGAAGAGAGTATATTCAGCGGTGAATATGAAGGAGAGGAGAACGTGATGGACCCTCTCGAATACGGGTCCGACGATGCGGATGACGAGGATGGCTACCTAGAAGACGAAGCTGAGGACGAACAAGACATTAGTCCGGGCCCGCTTAATCCTGGTTTTAAGAGCGCGCCTGCTCTTCCAGTGCGAGACGTCGATGCCGAGCTTATCACAGGAATGAAAAATATGGCTGTCGATGAAGAAATGAAAAGAAAAGACGAAAAGATGACGTAGCTTTGGAACTATGTCGGAAGGATCAAATAACTACTACGAACAATTTACAGTGACAATACATGATCCGGCCTCGAGGGTCGCCTTCAACGCGCAAACCCACCTTTAAGCATCAACCGTTTTCAACATTAGCCAGCACGGGAAAAATGCCGCTACGAGCCTTCGGTATATGTTAGATCATCTAATACCCAAAACCTGTATCATGTCACGATTATCCTTGCTAAGGGTAGATTGGTCTAGTTTTTTTTATATGCTACTTGTGATAAGTAGTCGTTGTATTTTGGCTTGCATAGCGTTGGCGTTTAATAGACGGATGAGGAGCACATCTATCATAGACTAGAATGTACAGCAAGCTGTCTTGCTTCCCCTGCATCTTGACCGTCCTAGCTAGTCCTCGACGCATTGCTAGCGACTTGTAGCAAATAGACCACCTTCATATATCATACGTCTTTTCTCAACTCAAACCCATAGTTCTAGTGGTTTATGCAATGTGTGCGTTATACTAGTATATCCCGGCCAGCCCAAGCATCATCAAAGACGTATTGTATTGTATTGTATTGTATGCGCAAGAAGAATTAAATTGTATCGTTGCGCAATGCGCCGAACTCGTTGCGGCACTTTTTACCCAACGCCGTAACGCCATTATCCATAATATCTATCGCATGAGAGATGCGGCGGCGCAGCATCTTCTGCTTCTGCTGTAGAAGACTAGCCTCGATGTGCTGCCGGTAGAGTTTCGTGGAATATAGCCCATTAATCACTCCATTCCTTCCATTTCCTCATCGCCCATATCGCCCATGTCATCACCAAGCAGCTCCTCCAAGCCACCCTCTTCCCCAGTATCAGCATTCGTTTGCCTCTGACCGTCAACCTCCTCCATCTCCTCATCCTCATCGCTATCCTCATCATCCTGCTCGATCCACTGGTCGCGGAGGCTCCAGCCCGTCCCGCTCAGGACGAAGCGCTCGTTGGGGAGACGCACACCCCACTCGTTGGCGAGAACGCGCGGCAAGGCGATCTTGTTGCGGTCCCGCGCTACTTCCTGCATCCACTCCTTGCTGGCGCCGGTGCCGCCGGACGCGCCGCGGAACTGGAAGGACTGTCGCGACGCGATGGCTAGGTTGATGGCGTTGGTGGTGACGGCGGCTTCGCCGGCGCTCGGGGCGCTGGGGGCTGCACCGGACGCGGCGCTGGGCTTGGATCCTGCGTGCGTGGTGTAGGGATCGGTGGACAGGTGCAGCGCGTCGGAGAGCACGGACGACGTGTGGCGGTAGGCGAAGTCTAGGAGCAGTAGGGGCACGCGCTGGTCGAAAGATGTGACGCCTTGGGAGGTTAGAAGGAGCTCGATTGTGCGGGCGTCGCGTGGCCGAGGAGCGTGGGAGGGAGACGGGGAGGTGGGAGGTTGGGACACGCCTGATTGCGTGTTATTGTTGACTGTTCCTGCTCCTGCTCCTGTCGAGGCGTTGGTTGCTTGTGTGTTTGGTACGGTAGTCGATCCGCTAGTTGCGGTGTTCTGGGTTGGCTGAGAAGCAGATTGCGACGGGCCTGGTGCCGAGGATGATGGTACCCCGTTGGTCTGAGATTGCGATACTGACGCCATCGTGGCTATAGGGAAGTGATATTATATCGAATTCGAGCAGTCGATTTGAATAGATAGACGCAAGGGAAGTTGTGGTCTGATCGTTGATTGAACGGATATTTGCGACCTCACTCCTCTCACTCCATTTACAGGTATGTAAATACGCCCAGCGGCAAATTAAAGAATTCACGAGGATTCCTCAACCGATTCGGCTTGCAAAAGAAAGTTTTCAAACCTTAATTAGGCAAGGAAACTAGTACCTTTATTTTTTTGGTACCAAGTACGTTTGAAGATGTACGAACTTAGAATTACGATTAGATGTTTAGGATGAAATGGCAGAATGGGCATGTACCTATTCACACAGAAAGTGATTGAAGCGAGCTCTAGCTAAGTTGAGCCTCACTGCATTAGTGGGCCTGATGTTAATACATAAATGGGACTGGTTTAGTGGATCCTCATACTACGGCGGTAGAGAAGACTGAGAAGTACATAATGAATGTATTATACCTGTGCTACCACCTAACCTAGGTAAGCTAGTGGGTTAGGTTAGGTAGGTTATGGCGTAAATAGGTTGCAGGTTTCCGTATGGAGGGGTAATTCGTTAATAGCCCCGCCATCATTGGGCAATTCAAGGGCAATTAAATCATGTACGCCGATTTTAGGAGGAGCTGTCATGTCATTTCTAAATAACTATTTTTCTCTTTCACTTAACAATTCATATCTACCAACTCAGTCGTCATCTTATGCACTAATTTCTAGTAGCCAACAAAGAATTTGAATATAACTAATTATTCAGTTCTATTTGGCAAGTATATCGCTATGGAGACAACACATCCGCTTCCATTTCTCATCTCCGTACCAGTCCCTCCTAGTTGGGCATCGAGCGAGGAGGCGCAAGGTCTAAGTCAAGAGGAAGTGGCATGTTTAGGTTGCGTCTTCTTCGAAGTGACTCAGAAAAACTTTCAAGAGCTCCTTCATAACCTTCACCACTTCGATGCCGCAACTCTTCATACTGTCTTCGACGCCACCGGCCTCGAATCGAAAGATGATGTCGTCACGCTACTAGACCATGGCGCCCGAAAAGTTTTTGTTCAGCCCGAGAGGCTGCTGGATTTTACAGAGTTTGGTAGAAGAGTTGCCCCGGCGATAACAAATATAAACCAGTTGTCTTATGGGACGGAGCATGGGCTACTCCTGAAGGACTTCGACCAACGAAGCTGCGATGTGTCTGGTTTTATGGAGTCGAGCAAGACTACTAAGATGCCACCCCTATATATCAAACCCATCCAAGATACTATCTATGACCATTTTGTCGACATATGTTCGCAGCTATCTGCTATTCCCATTATCCCATCCACGGAATTAACAACCAAGAAAGAAGAGGCGGATAAGAAGATCTTCGTTGCAAAACTGTTTTCCATCGCGTGGAAGTCGGATAGGCAGGACAAGCTTCTACCTACAGTTGTTTGCGACGAAGCAGGAATGGCACTTGGTTTAGTTTATAGTAGCGAAGAGAGCATTGCCGAATCGCTAAGGACTAAGACGGGTGTCTACCAGAGCCGGAAACGAGGGCTCTGGTACAAAGGTGCTACGTCTGGTGACACTCAGGAGCTGCTGAGAATATCGTTAGACTGCGACAACGATGCCTTAAGGTTCGTAGTAAGGCAGACAGGAAAGTTTTGTCACCTCGACCAATACGGATGTTTTGGCGATCTGAAGGGAATTCCAAAGCTCGAGAAAACGTTACTGTCGAGGAAGCGATCAGCTCCCGAAGGCTCGTATACCAAACGACTTTTTTCGGATGAGAAGCTACTTCGCGCGAAGATCATGGAGGAAGCAGAAGAACTATGCGATGCGCAGACTCCAGACGAGGTTGCATTCGAGGCGGCTGATCTAATCTACTTCGCCTTAACAAAAGCTATTAGCGCTGGAGTAAGACTTTCGGACATTGAGAAGAACCTAGATGCCAAGAGCTTGAAGGTCAAAAGAAGGCCAGGACACGCAAAGGGACAGTGGGCTAAGAAAGAAGGAATTGCAAACGGCACTGCGGAGAAGGCTAAGGAGGCCGCACCCGCTGTTGCAGCTCACACCGCGCCAGATGCTGACAGGATTACCCTAAAGAGGGTAGATGTCAGTAAGGTCAACGCAATTGAAGTCTCGGAAGCATTAAAGAGACCATCCCAGAAATCAGCTGATGCAATCCTGAATATTGTTACTCCTATCATCAATGATGTTCGAATGCATGGAGATAAGGCCCTGCTCTCTTACACGCACAAGTTTGAAAAGGCAACCTCCTTAACTTCGCCTGTTCTCAAAGCCCCGTTCCCGCAGTCACTCATGAATCTCCCGCCTGAGACTGTCAAAGCCATTGACGTCTCCTTCGAGAATATCCACAAGTTCCACGCTGCTCAGAAAGAACAACCCCTGAAGGTGGAAACCATGCCGGGAGTTGTTTGTAGTAGATTCTCTAGACCTATTGAACGAGTTGGACTTTATGTGCCTGGAGGAACTGCCGTCTTGCCCAGTACCGCACTTATGCTTGGTGTTCCAGCCATGGTTGCTGGCTGCAAGAAAATTGTTATTGCGTCTCCGCCGCGTTCCGATGGTAGCATTACACCAGAGATTGTGTACGTCGCCCACAAGGTCGGCGCCGAAAGCATTGTCTTAGCCGGCGGCGCGCAAGCTGTTGCAGCAATGGCGTACGGTACGGAAAGTGTCAGCAAAGTAGACAAGATTCTCGGTCCCGGAAACCAGTTCGTGACTGCTGCCAAGATGTTCGTCAGCAACGATACCAACGCCGGTGTTAGTATCGATATGCCAGCTGGCCCGTCTGAAGTTCTCGTAGTGGCGGACAAGGATGCCAATCCGGCTTTCGTGGCTTCGGATCTTTTATCTCAAGCCGAACACGGTGTGGATAGCCAGGTTGTTTTGATTGCAATTGACCTCAACGAGCAGCAATTGCAAGCGATCGAAGACGAAGTCCACAAGCAGGCCATGGCTTTACCGCGAGTGGATATCGTCAGAGGTGCTATCAGTCACTCTGTCACATTTGTCGTCAAAGACGTAGAAGAGGCGATGAGGATTAGCAACGAGTATGGACCCGAGCACTTGATTCTACAGATCAAGAATGCCGAGCAGGTAGTAGATCAGGTCATGAACGCAGGCAGTGTGTTCATTGGACAATGGACTCCCGAAAGCGTGGGCGACTACTCCGCCGGAGTCAACCATTCGCTACGTAAGTCTTCCTTCTCTTTTAGCTAGCATATTATACTAACAAATAATAACTAGCTACATATGGCTATGCCAAGCAATACTCGGGAGTCAACCTAGGCTCGTTCGTCAAGCATATCACAAGCTCGAACTTAACCGCCGAGGGCCTTCGGAATGTGGGAGATGCAGTTATGCAGCTAGCCAAGGTGGAAGAACTTGAAGCCCACAGGAGAGCCGTGAGCATCCGTCTCGGCACCTTAACTGGATCTCAGATATAAGCCAAATTTCGCTATACTGTAAGGCGTTGGTAGTGATGTGAGAGGTACTTCTAAGCATCAGCAGCACAGCCAGGTAAAATACACGCTAAGTCGTTACTCATTGCATCGTGTTACTATTGCATCTCTTCCCTCCGGCGTATGGGAATGAATTTGACAACAAAAATGGGGTATAGGGGCCGGGTTGGTTGAGTGAGAAGCATACTTGTATAGCCGTGTACGTTTATGCTTAAGCATGAACTGATAAGGCTACGGGGTAGCATGGACAGCAGTATCACAAAAAGCAGAATAGTACTAGGGTAGGTACCTTCAAAATATAATATCATTTTATACTAATCGCGATGGGTTCTGTGATAAGGGAACTTGCGAGGTGATATATTAGGGCAACCCGCCGTGGTAGGGGAGAAACACTAATAGTCAATGACTATAGGTACTGGAGGGGTGCAGTTGATAGCCCTAGAGTCTGCTAAGAGACCGCATTGTACCCTTGGTTGAGAAAAGAAAGAAATTGCTGAAATAGGGGTGCTTAAAATAACATTGTTATCGTGGGAAGTACACGCATTGAGTCGAAATTGAATCATTCACTAATAATTTTTATATTTGTTCCATCTATGAATATCAGTACAACGCCGGGATAGCGATGCATTGCGGCCGATTATACCAACTACGAAAATACGAGATTAACATCTTAGGTTGATGCCTCGCCTCATCTCTGACTCTCTGATTTCGAACATGATATTAACGGTGACGAAGAATGCCATACAACTGGTGATGAGGAATGTGAACCCTATAGTATACGGTTAAATACGATATCGGAATAAACAAGAGGGGAATGGGATGGCTTACCAGAAAAGTCTTTAAAGATACCCGCGATGATACTCATCAGCCCGTCTAAGCCGACAGCAAATCCAACTAGATTCGCGGTCATCATCATGAAAATATTTCCTACGGCTCCTACACAGCAGAGTATGCGATAAGTCGTAGGTCTGCTCTCCCAGGCGCGTTTTGGGAAAAGGAATCCAGCCGCCATCTCGGGTAGCATGAACAAGACGATGAGCCAACCCCAGATCAATAGGTTCATCTCAATATCGTGCCAGAGGGCAACGAATGTGAAGACGAGGACGTACGTGAGCAGGGACCGGGCGGCGTCGCGGGGGGTGCGGAAGCTTGACCCTCCGAGTGGCACGTATATGTACCGCAGGGACCAGCGATAAAAGCTGCGATGCCAGCTGCGCCAGAAGGCGAGCGTGCTCCAGTTATTGCTGACGCAGCGGATCATGTTTTCGGGCGGGTCTACGCCGTCGACGAGAGACCAGAGCCGGAAGAATCGCCACGGCAAAAGCAGCTTAAGCCAGATCAGATGCAAGTTGAAATAGCTAAGCAGACTGAGCTGCGCCGCCGTGTACTCGCTCCATACGGGATTTGCTTTGGAGATAGCTTGAACGTAGTTATAGTGCAAGATAACCTCCATTGCAAGAAGGGTCAGGGCGAGGCGCACCCCGTAACGTATCGTGCGCCCCGTCTCGATGCTAGCGGATTTATACCGCAACTGCGATATGAAGTCGTTAAAGGTGATTATTGGACCCGTCAAGTACAGGGGAGCGTAGATGGCGTACGCAACGTAGTTCCTAAATGAGAAGTCCTTTTCCTGTGCCGGGATGGATATACGGTCTCGTTCGCTCAAGGCAGACGGGTCGATTTGTTTCTTCTTGGGGGCATCAGTATGCTATTGATGATTTCAAGTAATATAGGTACGCAATAAGACTCACCTCGATCGGGCTAAAACTTCTGCGGTCTAGGCTCCAGTAGTAGTCCAAGTTGAAACTAATCAGTCGCAAGACAGTAATGTTAAACAGAATCTCCCATCGACTCATGATCCCGCCGTAGCTATCGAGCCATTGACCCCACGAAACCAGACCATTGTCGAGAAGTTCAGGCGTGTCAGAGGGACCAACGATTAGCGCAGCGAGATCACCAAATCTGAAGCCCTTAAATATTTCGTTGGCAAAGAGAATGCCGACGTTGAAGATCCAGGACGCAGCGGGTATATATTTCCGGGGCAGTGTTGTTGCGAGTTGGTAGTTCAAATGGAGAATGAAAAGAATCTTAAAGGCCGAAATCCCGTGTAGCGCAACGAGGTATATCAGCGCAAAGGCGAAGTCGAACGAAGCTCGCTGATCCAATTTCTGGTCCGCTTCTTCTGGTGTCGGTCGCGCCGACTGCCCCGTCGATTTTATTGGGTATACAACCGCATTATATACTCGGCGCAAAAGGGGATGGAAAATAAGAAGTGCTGCCATATACGGGATATTACTCCGAAAAGTACCATATTGCGCATCTGAGGCATCCTCCAAGCTGTCAGCACATGCTATCTCTCAGGTCAGGGGCCGCCTACGATTTTGCGCCCAGGAATCCACCCTGGCGAGAGTAGTTGCTCGTATCTTTGATATTTGGGCTCCTCAGCTATAAATATGGTTAGCTTATATATAGGCAGAAAGAAGCTCTTGGGAGATAGCAGTACATACGTCTTGAAGCATCATAGCAAGCCCAGAACATGTACGGTACGATAAAACAGAGGAGGAAGCGGTACACATAAAATTCCGGGGTGTTCCATTTTGATGGCTTGCCTCGGCTCTTCCACTCCGCAGCACGTTCCTTGCTAGCCACTACGTCGTCTCGCTCTTCTATCACGGTCTTGTAGGGTGTCGAGGACGGGTTCGTAAAGCGGGTGTCGAGGGTATCGAGAGTGTACATCGAACAAACGAAGGAAATGACACCCATGGTGAATAGATTTTCAGGCAGATACGCCTGGAGCAGTACAAGTTAACAAAAACACATGAACAGAATCAAAACTCGCAATGTCGACAACACGCATTAGGTCCCGGGCATCACGGAGCGAAGTTATGCATCAAGTACGGATTATAGAATTGACAATACGAAATTCGGGGACTTGCAGGTGGGTCCAGGGGAACGCGAACGCGGGTTGCATCGCACTTTACGGATTAAAGTGGGGTGATTAACGATAAAGCGATGAATGGCAGAGGTACGTACTTTTGTATACCTAGGTAGATTACATAAGTCGGTGAAGGCATACAAACAATCCGCCACTCCGCGACCCTATCATGTTTCTTTAAATGACACTTCACATATACAAGATGTTTACGCAATATATGGTACAACTGGATATCTAAAAATATTTGGAAAGCAGGGATTTTTACTGATTTCTAGAAGATTGGTCCGGAGCTGAAATCCGGGGTTAAGTCCGGATCTGAGCAGTTATTAGGTGGCGGTTTCCCCGGCGGATTCCCCTGACCTAACCCGGGCCCAGCGATGGGAAAATTTGGGAGTAGATCCATTGCGTTCCGCCCAAAGGCATCATCAGCAAGAGATTCTCCCACTAAATATTGGAAAGGGCCGTTTCGATTCTTTGATCTGCCTCCAGAACTTAGAGACCACATCCTGAAGCTCATTCTGCTCGACTGGGATTCTACTAGCAAGGATGCCGTCCGCCTCTTCCTTACGAATAAACGAATATATACGGAGGCCGCTTCGATATTTTACTATGAAGTCCTACTCGATAATATGCACCTGAAAGGAACCCCTGATCCGTTCTTGGCCGGCTCACTCACTGCGGTAACCCCTCGACTTCACGTTCGAAATCTGATCATCAGGTTCTTAATGAAGGAGCAGATGTATCTGTTCGGCGAGGCGTACGGCACAGCCTTGCGAGAAATGGCCTCGATAGGAAAACTCCAGAGCCTACGACTTGAGATCGGAAGTCGCTTTCCATCCTCCGAGTTCTGGGGCTTCGAAGACGAACTGTTCGTCTACGATGACGTTCGTATTGTAGCCGAAAAGTGGAAGGGGATGGTGATAAAGGCGCCTCTATTCGTCACGAAAGAGCCGTTCCAAAACTTCCTCAGGTTTCTTGAGGAGTCCAGGATCCCCAAGATCAGAGTATTCGTCGATGCCGAGGATCACCCAAAATTCTGGTGTATGTTCCATCGCCCTCACCCGTCAGGTAAAAAGTGTAATGGCGAGTGGGGAGGTAACGCGAAGGTATTAATGATCCAGTGGCCGAGCTTGGTCAGGGCTCTTAAAGGAGCCAAAGCTGTAGCATCAGTACAGAAGGATTGTTAATGTTCGATAACCACTATATCGATCAGTCAAGAGGCGACTCTATTTATTCCATAATTACCAGGCACGGCGCAGGAAGTACCATTGACTCGTGGTCACTATATTCGATGGGGATCTAAGTAACATTATGTTACCAAGACGGTTATGAAGAATGAGTAGATGTCTTCACGCGATTCGACATACATCAAAATAGCGATTAGAGTCCGACCTTAAAATGGTAGACGAAGGCGCATTTTTTGTGCATCACGAAAATTTGAGACTGGATACTGGGATCGTGATTATGTTGAACTAGAAGAGTTCCATGAGTCGAGGCGGAACCAAACAGTAGGGAAACAACTTTGTTGCTCCGTGGGGGGTTTTTACCTAACTACAAGAACGTACAGCTTTACATACTGAACATGCTCTTTGTTCTGGATGTCTCATCTGGAATCCTGATGAAAAGGGTTGTATTGGTGTGTCTACGTGGCGATTAATGAATTCATATGACTAAACGTATAATTCAAATAGATATAATAAGATTGACTCGATATTCTGCTATGTGTGTCCATAGGTAATTTACGCACTACAATATCTATCATTATCGTGACTGCCGATCTACTTCGTTATCTCTTAGATTTCCTTGTGATTTCCCATATAAATCTATACGGGTCCGGGTATTTGCGGAGTACCTTAGGTACCTTCCTGCTTGACTAGCCGTCGAATCAGAGCACTCCACCGTAAATTTAACTCCAGGTACGATAGATCTTCTCCAGGAAAGTCCTTGGCCCTAGGTAGCTTCCAATCGGAAACTCAAGCTCGTATTTTTAGAAATAGGCGACATATTATTGGATATATTATTGGATCACACTTACTTCTAACAACATTTACTGATTGAACCTCACCTTTTTTCTTTCTGACGGCCAGGCCGTTCAGCCGGTCAGATTCAAGTAAATAAGTTGTTAAGGTCCTCGAGGACATTCATACTTACCATACTTACCTGTGCACTTATTCGTTTAGTATCACTATCACTATCCCTTTATCCATAGGTATTTGCTCGCAGTCCTTATCGAGTCACACAATGAACCGCGCAGCGGTGAAGCAGCTCAACCTGCTTCGTGGTGCTGTGGGCGTAGCATCACGGCGAACGGCAAGCAGATGGCGACCTAGTGTAGTCGAGACGAAACAGCCCAGATTGGGACAAGTAACGGGAAGTCCATCACGTATGCTGCATACACGATATTTCAGCACGGCACCATCCAGCTCAGAAGGTAATGAAGACGCACAATCGGGTACATATAGTGAAGCCGATCATGAGCACGCCGTTATATCAACATTTGATCTCTTCTCGATCGGCATTGGTCCTTCATCATCCCATACAGTTGGACCGATGCGCGCTGGAGGTATCTTTGTTGCTGATCTAGCCGAAGCCGACTTGCTTAACAAAGTGCATAAAATACGCATCTCGATATATGGCAGTCTTGCGCTCACGGGCGAGGGCCAGTACGTAACCTATTCATTTCTTATTGCATCATCCCAAGATCAAATTCATTTCTCTTATACTACTAGGTTGGGATCTCGACTAACATTAGTCTTTAATAGTATGACACCATCTGCGCTACTGCTGGGCCTTGAGAGTGCTGACGTAGAGACTGTTGACACAGCCTATGTACCTACTCGCTTTGCGCAGATCAAAGAAGGCAAGAAATTATTCTTGGGTCGTGGCCTAGCAGAGGGTAAAGGTAAAGAAATCGACTTCGATTACGAGCGCGATTTCAAATGGGAATGGGGAAAGAAATTACCCCTGCATAGCAACGGAATGCGCTTTATGGTATTCGATGATCAAGGAATGCTTCTGGCAACCAACGACTTCTTTAGCGTTGGCGGGGGTTTCGTCGTCAACGGTGCACTTTCGACAGCGTCCACTGCTGCGGCGGCAAGTGAAGTTGCGGATCAGGCTTCGGCTGATACCAAAGACCTTCAGGCGGAAAGTACTAGCGGGCACCCGGCTGACTTGGCGGAGAATTTATTTTATAAAGAGATTAGACGAGCAGATGCGGCGGGAGACCGCAGAACCGGCTCCGAGATCAAAATACTCGATGGTGATTCTGCTGACGAGTCGAAGGCCGTTACTAGCCCGGAGGCGGCCCCTGCAAGCTCTCCCATCTCATCTACAGCATCAGAATCTGAAGCCGTTGGGACTGAGCCCACCTCGCAACAACCTCGCTATCCATTTCGTGACGCTAGGAGTCTCCTGGCACTGTGCAATAAGCATAACCTTACTATTGCACAATTAGTATACGAGAATGAGAAGAGTCATGGGTACACGGACGACGAAATCTATAGGAAGATTATGAGCATCTGGGAAGTCATGGATAATAGTATACTAGAAGGGGTTCAAGCACCCACCGATGCCACACTGCCGGGCTCGCTCAAGTTACATAGACGGGCGCCGGGATTATATAAACGACTGACAAGGGGCCTCTATCCTTCTCATACTCAAACTCCTAGCACAGCCGACGAGCCGACCCGGTTGTCTTCCCCAAATAGCGACAATAGCAAGTTATCATCCATAGCTGCGAGTATATCCGTGCCCCCGAAGCCAAAAACGCTGGCAATAGGAAGCATTACCAAAAAAGGCCCTAAGCGCATGGTGGGTTCCGTCTATCATCCGGTCATGCCGTCGCCCCCACGTCGTACGACATTTCCTGCCATGGACTATTTAACCGTCTACGCAATTGCGGTCAACGAGACTAATGCAGCTGGGGGCCGGATCGTGACAGCACCCACTAACGGTGCTGCGGGTATTATCCCGGCCGTGCTCAAATACACGGTCGAGTTCGTTAGCGATGATCCAGAGCGCGACGTCCTCACCTTCCTCCTAACAGCAGCGGCAATTGGCATGCTGTATAAGCGTGGTGCTACTATCTCGGCGGCCGAGGGAGGCTGCATGGCTGAGGTCGGCGTGGCCTGCTCGATGGCAGCTGGGGCCTTCGCGGCTTGTATGGGTGCTAGCCCCGAGACGATCGAACAAGCAGCTGAGATCGGTATCGAGCATAACCTTGGCTTGACATGCGATCCCATCGGCGGGTTAGTTCAAGCTCCGTGCATCGAGCGCAATGCTCTGGGCGCTATCAAAGCCATCTCAAGCGCGAACCTAGCCCTCAGCAGCGAAGCCAGCGCGTCAAAGGTCAGGCTCGACGATGCTATCCGTGCTATGCGTGTCACTGCTCAGGGGATGCGGAACGAGTTCAAAGAGACAAGTCTCAGCGGATTAGCTACAAGTGTACCGCTTAACATCCCCGTCAGTGTACCCGACTGCTGATGCACACTCGTCGCCGTCGCTGTTCAGTTAGGTATCTACGGCGTAACTATATCGCTCAGGAGTATCGGTTATATCGGTTTCTTTTTTTACCGTCATTATTCATGATTAAATATTTAACGTCGTGTCTGTGAAATAAAAGGGAAGACTTAATTGGGAAGCAAGCGGGCTTACAGGCGGAATATACTCGCTCGCGATCTTCGAAGATATAGAGAGAGGTGTGCGCAAGTGATCATGTCGGGATTTAGATAGAAAAGTTCGTCTTTATAGACAAGAGACGTAATAATTTAGATTTAATAGAAGGCAACTAACTTTATCAGCATGGGATAGGTTATCTAAGATGCCTTAAAGTACGTGTACATAGTAAGCAAACCAGTATTGATCGGCGTTCGCATCTGACCTGGCTGGGGGGAGGTGGGCTCTAAGCCGCATCCTTCGTATATAAAGATATGCCTCGATCGCGTTTCGATCTACGAAGTATCACATATCTCTTCCATCAATGTTTACCACTTGCGTAGATTGTTGGGCTTTCCCATGCGTGTATAGTTTTAGATCCTATTGTTGTAGATATTTGTTTCAGTATATTGCCTCCAGTTTTGACGTCGCTAAATTATATATTTTCGTTAGGCTCTACAGACGGTGGTGTAATCCAAAAGACTATACATCTAAAGTGTATAATTGAAAGTCCTACGCCCCTGCTGTTCGTAAGCTGATAGTCATGCGCTTCTAAGAGCTCGGAGAGCTGATGTTACCTACAGTAGCAACTCGTTACCGAGGATAAATATGGTATGGAAGGATTATAGGTCAGTCCTCTTGGCTACTCTCAGCTTCGCCTCTGTCGGTCCTAGTCTCCGTACATATATAGCAAGAGGTGTTACCAGACTACATGCTGTAGCCCTATTCTAACTTGCCCTTTTGCATGCCATATCTAGTGTACGTGATCTATCTACTTATTTTAATCTCGTAACTACTGCCCACGGTACCCAATCGATAAAATCACAGGGAGCGTAAAAACAAAATCAGAACATGTCTATCCCTCTTAACGAACTAGACCGCGTAGAAGGTGGCTACGGAAACGAGCGCGGAAAGCCGTCCCTTGAGTACGACGAGGAATCGACATCGACGGAGGTCGAAGAGCAGGAGCCGTTTATTAGTCTCTCCACACAGAATACTTCCACCCCCGAGTCTCAGGAGACAAGTGTGGATTCCTCCCCCAAGTATCGCTCGCTTATGAAGCTTGGGCGCGGGATCGGGGCGTTTATAGGATGTGTATTGATTTTCGCTATATGCGCTGCGGTTTTTCTCACGATCATGTTCGCCGTGTTTCGGCTCGTCGTCGCGCTGTGGATGAAGATTGGCTTGATACCGAGTTAATCGAATATCCCCTTTACCCTGAAGGCCGGAAGAAGAGAGGTGTGATCTGGCGTGTTTATACCGTGGGAATTCGGATGAACGGTCGTAGATAAGCTATATAAGCATATGATTTCTGGGGTTAGTAAGGAGCGCTTGTCACGTCCGATTTGATAAACCTAGGTAGGTAATCATATTGGGTACGGCGTTATATACTATGATGGGTCATACTATGTGCTATGGAATTCTGGCAGACTTGTTATAACTCTCTACATCTGGGTCTACGGTAGAACTAGAAAGAAAAACCTTAAAGGACGACATATAAACTGCAGGCGTATGAACTAGGTTTAGGCCTCATCACCCCTATCTTTAGGATCTACCACATATGAGCACCTATGGATACCATTCACTATATTCCATTGAACCAATAGCCCGAGAACAGATCGTATATTGACAGATTAATTTATTATATGCATTCCTTAGTCAATACAGAAATCAGGGTATCACTGTGTGGTGGTCATAGCTAATGAGTAAACACCTCTTATATAACCTCTAGATTTTATGTATTACCCAACCCTAAATGTCCTCAATCCTCGTCAAAACCTAAATATCAGTGTCCCATCACGTCATCTATCGTGAAATTTGCACCTATTAATATAAGCAAACTTGCGCTATTATTGAGCAGTCTTTTCCGCAGGCTTATCGCCCTCGCCATTTTTTCGTAGGCTCTGAAGGCCTGTTTTATGTTCGTGATGCTGAGTGCTGAGCTTTCGCTGGCTGATAAATGGGCTGATGAGAAGTCCCACCCCAGCGAAGGCTGCGTACATAATGTACATATCGCGCAAGCTGTTCCAGTAAGCTGCGCGAGCTATTTCGCCCTGGACTCCGGGTAAGGAGGCTACGAGGCCAACATTACCACCTGCGCTCCCGCCGGAAAGCTGGTTGGCCAGCTCTGGTCCAAGCTGAGCTAATAAAGTCGGGTACTGCTTTTCCATTCCGTTCTGGAATACTACGCCGCCAATAACCACAGATATGGAGGTTGATAATTGACGGACGAATCCGAAGGTCGATGTCACCGAGGCGATATCGCGGGGTTCGACGGTCGTTTGTAAAGCTATGAGTGGTGATTGGAAGTTCGGTCCTACACCTATACCCGCAATAATTTGGTATACAATTATCTTTGCCCAGTTTGCCTGAGCACCGAGGTCGATGAATAGCCCGTATCCAAGCGTCATGAAGAACATACCGAAGATGATGGCTGGTAGGTATTTACCAGTCTTCTTCATAAATATACCCGAACCGATCGACATGAACGAAAGCGAGAGCACGTACGGGAGCAAGTAGACACCCGAGAGTAGCGATGATGCACCTAAGACGGCCTGGAAGTACAATGGCAAATAATAACTTCCGGAGATGAAGACAAGACCGTGAACCAGACAAACGCCGAAAGTCGATATGTTCTTCCCGAACTGGAATAGCCGAAGCGGAATGACGGGGTACTTAGCATACCACTTCTCGACGGCGACGAACAAGCCGACCGTGACTATGCCGAACACAATCAAACATATCGTCGGCGCCGAGTTCCAGGGGTATGTGACGCCACCAAATTCTAACCCGAACAGGAACATAAGAGTGCCGCCGACGATGAGAACACTACCGAGCCAATCTATAGCAGCCAAACCCTCCCAGACGGACGTGCGCGGGTTATGTAACTTAAGCACGAATAGGAGGATGAAGAAGCCCACGCCGCTGATGGGCAAGTTCACGTAAAAACACCAACGCCAGGTGACCTTGGAAGTGAAGACACCACCCAAGATAGGACCAATCGCAGAAGCTATAGCCCAGACCATGCCGAAGAAAGCATAGTACATACCGCGCTTACGGATGGAAAACAAATCACTAACACAGATGTTAGTGAGTACGACGATGCCGCCGCCGCCGATGCCCTGGATGGCACGGGCGGCGATCAGCATGCCGATGTTAATGCTCAAGGCGCATATCAGCGAACCGATCCAGAAGATGGCGACAGCCGCCAAGAGCACCGGCTTGCGACCCCAGATATCGCTGATCTTTCCCCAGCTGGGGACCGTGGCGCTGTTGGCCAATAGGTAAGCCGCACCGATCCACGTGTAACCGGCCGGCGACTGGAACTGCTCGGTGATTGTGGGGATCGCGGTAGTGACGATGGTAACGTCGAGAGCGGCGAGAAACAGCGCCGAGCATAACGCGAAAATAATAACGGTCGTCTGAAGCTTAGTACGTCCTGCCTCGGGCTCCGCAGCTTGGGCAGCGGGGGGAGCACCTTCGGACGGAGCATTACCTGGTTCGCCTACGGCTGGAGTGGCGGCGGCGGGCACATTTCCGCCTCTTGAAGAGTCTTCATCCTGCGCGGTGCTTGCCGAGGAGCTCCGACGCGTGTTATGACTAGATGGTTTCGCGCCCTGCTCCAAGTCGTCGAGTTTCTCGTCGTCGCGGACGTTTAGCGTGGCAGCCTCATGGTCCGACATGATCCCGACGCGAAGCGGTTGAAGGCGTACTCAAAGCAAATCTTCGTCGTTGTTGCTGTCTGTCAACGAATGATGTATGCCTAGGTAGCCAGTTGATGGTTGATGAAGCAAGGAGCAAACGAGATTTAAGACAAAGGATAGCTCAAAAAGGAGAAAATTTATTATCTCCGAGCCGGTGAGTGAGTCAGCCTAGTTGCGTACCTACATACGTAGTGGCGGTGATCTCGTATAATAAGACAAGGGCATAGATATAATAGCGGAGCCGCGGAGACCGAGATCTATGGTTAGCCAGTTCGGTGGTGAGATCTATGACGGTCCACGTCCTCACCGTATGTACTTCGGCGTCGCCAAAAAAAAAAAAGAATATTTAGAGAATTAAGTCCATGACATAGTTATGATAATTATAATGATTTATGGAGCCGACCGACATGCGCTGGTTCCTTGGACCCGAAACGACGGCTCTCCAGCTGTATGTATATAAAAAACTTCAAGATAAATAAATAAATACAAATCATTTGTTAGGAAGGGGACTAGCTTGAGCAAAGGATTGGTAATGCTCCTACATCCGGAGCACTAATGCGAAGAGGCGAAAGAGCGAGGCGTAAAGAAACCGGGCAAAGCGTAAAAGGGGTTCGAGCGTAGTATGCGTCTGTGTGCCGGGGGTTATTCTAAAAGCGAGAACGGCTAAATGTGGAACTAATAACTAAGTCTCTGATTGGTTAAATCAGCATAAAAAATATTCTTGCCGGCCGGCACTAAGCTTGTTCAATCTGATATGCACGTCCCTTGTTCCTTGTTCCTTGTCCCTTGCACGTTTTACCTGGTAATGGTTTACGTAGTAGAAGCTAGGGTCTGACAACAAATAATATTTCATTCCGAGTCATTGCTACATAGTAAGTTGGCTTTACATATGTACATACATGACTCTCTTCGTTTGACTCTGCGTTTGCCCTCCTCTTTTCTTTAATGTTAACTAAATAAGCCTATTGCGAGTCAGAGATTAAGCCAACTGGAACCATCAAGAAACCCGAAGCAGTTTCAATGTTACTCAGAGTTAAGCTTATTTGCTGTATCACGTTACCTATGTACTAACTACCGATTTCATAAAGAACAAATTGAGAATAGTCTTCAACACTCACACTCACCACCGAAATATGAGATCAAGAGTTGATTTAGATTTTAGATGGTATAATCAGTTTATAGTATCGAATCTAAAAGCTAACGCACCTAGTTACTACATTTCCATTATTATCAAAAGAGTCGAGACGCATTAATTAGTTACTAGGTTCTCTATACGCCACGTCCGCCTTCCACATATTAACAAAATGGTTAATACGGTCCTTCACAGGAGCGTGTTTTTTATAGTCCCGCATCGCGTCCCACTGCATATACATCAGGACGTGCATGAGCAGCCACGCCGCGTCGCACGGGTTAGCCTCCCCGAGCCAATACGCAAGGTTTCTCGGCGCGTCGTCCGGGTTCCTAAGCCTTGCCAGCGTCCGGAGTATGAAGCGGGCGTAGAAATGGTTGACGGTCCAATCCTCTCTGCTGGGCGGAGGCGCGTCCGAACCCCAGCTGGCGTCGTTGGCGTGGGCGTGCGCGAGCTTGTGCACCGCTACCCATTCGCCGACCGGAAGGTCCCATTCTCCCTCGAGATACGTCTCGGCGAACTCGACGAAGGCGTCGAGAAGGGCCGGGTGTGTAAATAGGTTCTGCATCCGCTGCTTGGCTATCAAGCTGTCGCCGAGGCCGAGGAGAGATGCTAGCTCGCCTGCGACCGCATCCAGATGCGGTAGTTTCTGTTTGTAGACAAGTCGGACTTCGTTTTTAATCTCTTCGGGGTCGTCCATCCAAGGTAGAAGTACTCGTCTATCCTGCTCCTGCCAGGTGTTCTTCTGGATCCCAGCGTTGTGCGAAGACGTGTTAGAGGTCATGTTGTAGACTTTGTAGTAGTTATATTCACAATGTTCTTTAATTCATAGGTATGCAATCCGAATTCCAACATCCTTCAGCAAAGCTGCTTATATACCTGTGGACTCTTTGTCTCCCGCCAATTCTCTAAACGATAGGTAGCCGGCTTTTCACTTCCCACCTTTCATTGAGTTCCTTGTCTGATTGTGGCTCTTTGATGCTAATAGGAGAGACAATTACATTTTTATAATAGTAGGAGCGTAGTTTACATATTGGAGTTGAAAATATAGTCTTTCAAAGACAAGTCACTTGAATTACAATGCAATAACTAACTTAGATTATAAATTCTTACTTCAAATCATAGATAACATAAGTCCATGACATAATTTCTTCTTAGTATCCGTGAAGGTACCTATCCTTGGACCATTGGAAATGCTGCTCGTATTGGGTTGGACAACTAGCACCAACCGAAGTAATATTATAAGGGTTGGGCATACACAACTTAGGAATAATATGTGTTCATAGCCTTCATCTGAGTATACCTCTCCTGTGCCCTGGGATCAACTTCAATCCCTTCCTTGCCCTGTTTGTATTTAGCGGCAAAGATTTGAGGATCGCCTTTTAGAAGTCCCATTATATGGGTCTCATGTTCGTGTTTAAGCTTAAGGTATATAAGAAACGCTGCTGTCCATTTGTCCGAGCTGTCCCAGGGCTTATAGAACGGTTGAACCGCGCCGAGAATGTCGGCATAAGCTTTTTGCCAGCCCATCCAGTACTTGTTTCCTTCAACAAACTCACCTCCTCCGTTAACGACGTCGCTGTAAAGGTGCTCTCGATAGTTAAGAAGCCTTAAGATAAACGCTACGGCGTAGTCAAGCGGTCGCCAGATGTCCTTATTTACCCATACATTGGGCCTAATAAACAAGTAATCAGCGATCGCATCAGGCCTTGTGAAAAGAATTTGCATCCCGTTGACAACTTCATTCCACGTCGGTAACGCGGCAACTGGATATTTAATAAGGCATTGCTCTACGTATGCTGACCTAGCCGACTCATATTCTGGGCAGTCGTAGAAAAAAGCAAAGTCTTGGAGAGTCCACCCTACCTCTCGCCACTGGCTAGGTAGGAGGACACGGTCTGCTTGGCCGTATGCTCTAAAGTAGAGCGATGCCGAGCCTCTTGCGTAATCATCTTTTATGTTGGCTTCGAGATTTTCCCAAAACGGGACGCTTAACTTCAGGTGAGGCGGGTTCGACATTGTGAGATCCAGTTACCGATATTGTGTATTGATTTTACGATACTAAGGACGGTGTGGCTTTTAAAGAGGTTTAGAAGCAAGATATGGAAGTTTAAATAAGGACTATCCAGGACTTTATTGCGAGTTAAGTAAGCAAAATAGTGAGGGGACAATAGCTGCTGTTCATTATCAATGACACTGTACACCGGAAATAAAGACGCTGATTATGAGTAGTTAGAATCCACAAAGATCTAATTAGATACTGTAGCTGAACTATCTCTCTCACCAAGAACAGGCCACTGCGTAACTTCGAAAATAGCCACTAACAGAGCCTCCAACACCAAGTAATCTACTACCCCTATCCCCATGAGTTGACTTAAAGCAGAATCACGTGCCATGAGTGCTCATTTCGGTGAATACTTCTCGTGCCCATTACCTTCCCCAAGGTCAGTTGGCGGCTGTGGGAACTCGATCAGCACTTTGGGATCCCCAGTCAACTCAAAACTAGTAGTAGCCTGTGTGGGCACGTCGAGCAGAAAATTGTACGTTCCAGGATATAGGATGGTGTTTCCTCGCTCGTCCACTCGAGCCAAGTCCCCTAATGTCAAGCCCACTTTGGCCTCCTTTGTTTCTCCCGGTTTTACTCCTTTAATACGTGTGTATGCGGCAAGCTCCTTGATCGGATGGGGAACAGGCCCGTATTCTCCAGATAGGAAAGCTAATGCGACGAAGTCCGAGGTCACGTTTCCTGTGTTCTTAACAGAGATGCCTACGGTCTCGAAGGGGCAGAGGTCCAGGTATTTCGCGCTACACGCAGCAAGCAGCTCGCTGATGTTATAAGTCTTTTCCACGAAAGCGCCGGATACGAATGAGGGTTCGAACGTGGTGTAATGCAAACCGAACCCGAAGGGTAATACGGCCTCGTCGTACCACTTATACGTTCTTCCAGGGTTTGTCTCGCTCGGGCGAAGACTCATGTCTGTCATCGGAACCTGATCTACGTAGTCTGCAGGGTACAGAGTGGTGGGCAGTCGACCAGCTGGCGCCGTCTTACCAGTTAAAACGTCGAAGACGGCCGTGCCTCCATCCTGACCGGGGAAACCCGCCCATAGGATAGCGCTAACATTGTCATCACTCAGGAGCGACGAGTCATCGTTTTGATCACCTAGCTCGACGACGATGAACGGCTTGCCTAATGCGCTAAGCTTCTGAATCAAAGCAAACTGGGCGCTGGGCCAAGCGATAGAGAACCGATCGAGCTCCTCTGCTTCTATGGTCATGTCGTTCCCACCAAAGTATATCACGATATCTGATTTATTCGCGGCGTCTAGAGCGGCTTCAGTCCACGTGTCCGGGTCTGATGTGTTCTGCTTAACGGGGCCGGTAGCATTTACTGCATGGAATCCGAGTTTCTGAGCTGCTTGCAGTGGTCCGTGAAGGTAAGAGGGAATACCGGCGTATCCTCCGAGCATAGCGAAGTTTCCGGCGTCCGACCAGAAACCTATCAGAGCGACCGAAGTAGAATTGTCGACTTTCAGGGGCAAAACTCCATCATTCTTCTTCAGTACGATGCTTTCGGCGGCGGATCGGATGGCGAGAGCTTGCGATTCGGGGGTGTTGACATCTTTCCAGGATAGAGAGCGGTATGGAGTAGCGTCTGGGGGATCAAAATATCCTGCGCGGACAAGTCCTTCGTACATACGTCGAAGTGCTTGGTCGATAACTTTTTCTGGTAGTAGAGTTTGATTCCATGCTCCAGCGACATCGGTGTTGCTGCCGACTTCACATATACTATCCGTTCCGGAGATCAGAGATATTGCTGCCGATTGCGCTGCCGTGGTAGTATAGTTGTGGTCCTCATGGAAGTTTAAGATGGCATTGCAGTCGCTGGTAATATACTGGCTCCCGTCGTTCCACTCCCAAAAGTCGCGAAGGACTGTCCCCATTAAGTAAGTAGAAGCGCAAGCGGGTGTTCCGTTAACAGCATTGTAGGAGCACATGATTGATTTGACCTTGGAGTCCCGCGCGCACTGCTGGAACGGAGGGAGGTAATATTCTACCAGATCCTGCATTCCGACGATCGCGTCGAATTCGTATCTCTTTATGCCTCCCCAGTACTCGAGATCGTACGCCGCATAATGCTTGCAGGTCGCTATCACTTTCGTGACATTCTCTTTGCCTTGTAGGCCATCTATCAAGGCCTTGACGTAACCCTTGATGCGAAAAGGGTCCTCGCCTGGGGTTTCGGAACCTCGTCCCCACCTTGGATCCTTATAGGGGTTAATATTCGGCGTCCAGTAGTCGAGTCCTGCATGGCCCGAATTGCTATATGCTCGAGCTTCGGTGCTGATGACTTCGGCTACGGCATGGACCAAGTCGTCGTCGAATGCCGCCGACAACAGGATCGGGCTAGGGAAGGAGGTAGCATAAGAAAATTCTCCCGACTGTGCAAATCCCACCCCGGGAGAGAATCCGAGGCCATGAAGGGCTTCGTTCCACCAGTCGTAAGCGCCCAATCCTAGGCGCGGTGCCCCAAGGCTCTTGCTGATGCTATATTAGTTCCGAATAGGGGGTTTCTTCGTACTTTTAGGATTGCCTCACTCTACGAGATTAACCAATTTCTCTGTAATATTCCATGCACTAATAAGAGCTGCGGCCCTTTCGGATGGACTAGCGGACGTGTTGCAGACGAGGTTGGTCTTCAAAATTTCAGGCCCATTAACGCAGTCGGGAAAAGTCATTTTCCCCAACGCCTGGGCGCTGAGGAGCGTGAGAAAGGCCAACGATGTCGTCGGACGCTTCATAATGCGACTTTTCTAATATACAAACTGGTAAGATGAAACCTACGAGCCATGTGAATGATGCGGCGTTCCAAGCTCGCCTTTTTCAAGTTTGGATGGTTCTCTAGGTATGTACGGAGACTACAAGATATCTCCAGCTAAGCATTCGCTCAGAAAATAGCCTACCGGGTGAGCTGTATCTAATTCTTTGGAGATGAGCCGCGTAGTTTACGTACCCGACTTTACTCAAGGTAGGTACATAACATCCGCTCCTTGAGAATATTGGGGGAAATACTACCCATTATCTCTCTTGAGCTCGATGATCGACACGAAAAGGAGACTTTACATTAGAATAGCACATTTGCCCCACAAGAACTGGCGGCATTTAAGGCTCGATATCACCGTCTTCTGCATACTCCGCGTGAGTTTCTCCCGGACTATTTAGCCGGCAGACATGTTGCATGGGATATCAGATCAGCGTATGCCTTCGGTCGTGACAATCGACTCGGTTGTCACTGACTAATAAAAAATAATAATAATAAAAGTTAAATACTGTGCATGGAATGGTTGAGATACTCTTAGCAGGGGATAGAAGCGAAATAAAACAGTGAAATAAAGTATTGGGGTCTCTAGCTACGAATATTTACTTTGATCAAATGAAACATAGATATCCGAATCAGAGCTTCCAGGTTTGTAGGAAGCTGCGTATGCTCTGTAGGCAGTCCATTCTAACGTGTTCACACGCTATAGCTTCGTAACACTATCTTTGCATGTTCGAATCATGGTTGCTCTAGAAATCTCGATAGGAACAATTTAAAGATATTAGTCTTAGGTAATAATGCGTATACTGTAACTACATCCCCTTAGGCACTTATTTCCATTTTCTCATCTGCCACCTCATGAAAGGGAGTCTAGTTAAGCTGTATGATTATGATGGAAGATATAGGCGCCTGCTTCAACCTTGAAGCATTAAATATCCTAATTCAGATAGCTTCTCGAAGTATACTAGCATTGAGGTTGCATTAATATATTTCACGCGGGGATCGTCAATATCGCAGGGAACTACCTCCGCATGAAGCACGGCATATTACTTGGTTGTTTCTCCAACGTCTCCGTTAAGGACTGGCTATATTGTTATTTAACGCCACCACCTCGCACCATACTCACTTTGCTAACTCCGTACGACTCTTTGGAAGATACGATAGTGTCTCACAAAGCTATAGCTGCGGAAGGATATTTTGCGAATAGCAAGGAACTCTCGCCATGTTCAGACTAAGCACTAGACTGGCCGTCACGGCTATCACGATCCTAGCGACTGGTATGACTTTAGTTTCAGCGGAGTGCACTCGCGAAGGACTCTTGGCTGCGGCGAATAGTTACATTGCTGCTCAAACCAGCGGAAGCATCGACGGGCTCAAGTTATCCGCCTCCAACTTTACCTATCAGCAGAACAACAAGGTCTCGGACATCAAGACTGGCGTGCTAAGCCAGCCCTTGAAGATAGACCTCAACAGATCCACAGCAGACACGGTGGCGTGCGCGAGCTACACGATGCTGATCTCGACGACCGGCTCTAAGCCATACGTAATCTCGACGCAGATTCGGCATCAGGACAATGACACGAGCTCAATCGCCTTGATCGACACCATCGCAGCGACGACGGGTGCGCTATTCTTCAATGCCCAGAAGACGCTAGGATATATCCAACAGGAGAACTGGGGAACACTCGAGGAGGGGCAGAGAGTCGGTAGGGAGGAACTCAAGCGCGTGGGGGATGCGTATCTAGATATGTGGACGGATGCCACGGCTGCCGACTCCATCCCATGGGGCACGGACTGCGAGCGCGTTGAGGGTTCTCAGCTAACGCGGCCTTGTGGATCGACGCTCCCTCACGGCGGGAGCCAGAAGCCTAACGGCAACCGGCGGTACGTGATTGACGAGACTATGGGGTCCGTAGACGTCCTCTGCTCTTTCGACTCGCTTGGGAATATGCCTGATTCTCACGAGGTTCGGCTAGAAGGTGGTAAAGTCAAATATGTTCATACTGTTACAGTTTTACAGTAGATAATTAGGGTGTTTCTCATCTTCTTCGCCGCTACTGCCCTTGTGTTTTACTGTGGTATTTATAATATTAATGAATTTTGTATTATCATCTCGTGTAAATACCTACCTAGGTAGAAGCCTCCTTAAATATCTAAGTGACTAATAATCTCGACGCCGACGCATCCCAGGACGGCCAACCATCCTTCATTCTTCATTAAAGCCGCTGGGACCTAAACCCATTATAATATATCGCGACAAAGCTCCAGGAAAGGGTAGGAATTGTATATAACAGTGCCGTCTGTCGACTTTTGCACCCGGAGGATGCTACGCTTTAATTAAGGAAACGGGCAAGATTAAGGATAGCGTACTAGACTATAAGGACCAATATGAGGTTATTCTGGCCCTGCAATATTCTTGAAAAGACATGTCTTTTATGAAATAGTATCAACGTTTAAAAATACATAGAAATAGGGGAGAAGCCTACCCGTTCGGAAGTATTTCGGATCAATCCTCAATTACTAACTAATTCCTTAAAGCGTAACCCCCGAAGGGCACTACAACTCGATAGATGTATGTATCTTCTTACCTGATATTGCATAGTAGGTATCGCATTCATATTTCTTATTCTTACCATCGTAAAGCCCATATGTGATTCCAATGATTTATTCCCCATTGAAGAAAAGTACATCCGACCGGATGCGAAATGGACAGCGATCCTGGTGTCATATACCGTTCCAAGCACCATCATATCGGTGTGGACGTCGGAACAGGCTCCGCCCGCGCCTTAATCATTGACGAGGACGGGAGGTCAGTTGCTTCAGCATCCAAGGCCATAGACGAGTGGCAGCCACAACCAGGCATACACGTAGGTCGTCTGCAATCCGATCGATGATTGTTCTAAAGCGTTTCATCCTAGGAACAATCCGTTAGCAAGATATGGGATAGTGTGTGTCATGCCGTAAACGAGGCCCTGCTGCAGAGTGGAATCCAACCCGAATCGGTACGCAGCATAGCATTCGTCGCAACTTGCTCGCTTGCTCTTTTCACCCACGACACTAATGAGCCAGTAGCTGCTGGCGGAAGGGAGAGTACCGACAAGGACCACAATGTCATCCTGTGGATGGACCAAAGAGCCAAGCTAGAGGCTGAGGCCATCAACAAGACGCAGCACGAGCTCTTAAAATACTTTGGCGGCTCGATATCAGTTCTTATGGAGTTACCCAAGATCTTGTGGTTGAAGCACCACATGTCTGAAGCCGACTTTGGAAGGTGCAAATTCTACGACCTCAACGATGCGCTAACGTATATCGCCACGGGAAACCAACAGTTTCCTTGCACTGAAATTTGTACCCGAGACGCATTGAATATTGGTGTGGATGGCACGGCAAAGGGATGGAGCCGAGAATTTTTGGAAGCTGTGCAACTCGAAATCCTAGCTGCAGACGATTTCAAAAGAGTCGGAGGCGTGTGTCGAGTAAGTTGAAACGTGGGCGCCCTTTCTTATGTCCCTAACTCTCCAATAGCATGGAAGAGCACCTCCAGCTGGTACATTGGCGGGCCATCTTTGTGAAAAAGCTGCTCGTGAACTTGGTCTTAAGCCAGACGTTAAAGTTGGAGTCGGGACGATTGACTCATATTCGGGATGGGTAGGAACAGCGGGGCTGAGGTTTGACGGCCAGCACGATTTCCCTCTGTATTCGAGGATGGCTGTGGTTGCTGGTACATCTTCATGCTACATAGTCGCATCACGAAAGCCTGTGTTTGTGGAGGGTATCTGGGGCCCTTACCAAGATTGGATCTTACCAGGGTACTGGATGTCCGAAGGCGGCCAGGTGGCTACAGGTGTGTGTTCCCATGGTGTTGCAACTCGTATAATTCTTTCGAAGCTCTCTGCGGTGAAGAGGCTAATATAAGACGGTATACTAGGAATGCTACTTCAGCATGTCATTGAGGTACATCCGGCATACGATGCTGCCTTGAAATTGGCCAACAACTCAGATTTGAGCATTTATGACTTCCTTGATAGACACCTCGAACACATGCGATCTAAAAGCAAGGCACCAGACATATCCTACCTCGGACGAAACTACTTCTACTATGGCGACTTGTATGGAAACCGGTCGCCAATAGCTGATCCATCCATGGCCGGATCCGTGGTGGGACTGACGGGAGACAAAAGCATCGACAACCTCGCTATCCAGTATTACGGCGTTCTGGAGTTTATTGCCCTTCAAATGCGACATGTAATATCGATAATGAACAAAGCTGGGACTGAAATAAATTCACTCTTTATCTCTGGTTCCGTCGCTAATAATGCTAACCTGATCAGGCTGATTGCAACATCCTGCGACATGCCAGTCATAATCCCTAGACAAGCAGGCGCTGCAGTTTGTTTTGGAGCTGCTATATTGGCGGTCACGGCCGCGATGAAGACTTCCACCGGCGGCACAGGTAGCCTATGGTCAGTCATGCAAAACCTTGGTCAGCAAGGAGAGATTCAGGAGCCGGAAAAGAACAGCTTATTGAAAGATCTACTTGACGTCAAATATATTATCTATCTGGAACAATGTGAAAGACAAAGGGTCTTCAGAAACATGGTTGAAGAGGCGATTTCAAGTCATCTAGAGCGCCCTGCTTGATAGCTGTCAGATATTACTATCTGTCCGACGTATAAAATGTAATAGAATAAAATTTGTTACCAAATAACCTTTTAGTGGTATAGCGGTTTGTTCGAAAATAGCTTGCAAGAGGCATGTAGTCGATTCCGTTTCACAAGATGGACAAATATTATATTCAGGGCCGGGTTGGGATCCGAGATTGGGTATCATTGGAGGTACCGGCAACTATACTCGGCATAAAGTGGGGAATACCGTAAATGGTTATAGCGTACGAAGACGTGATCGCTCCGCTTGGAGGAGTCTCTAAATTACGTCTTACATAGGACAATCGAAAAAGACATGACTCTTTGATAGGATTCAAATAATTATAATCATCATCAGTTTTCAAGTTGAAACCCTCATCATGGCCCCGTTGAAAATTGCTGTGTTAGATGACTACCAAAAACTCTCTGAGAACCCGTTCAAGGACTTACCATCCTCTGAGTATGAGGTAGAGATATTCACCGATACACTACTACCATACAACCATCCTAATACTCCTCAAGCTGCCAAAGATGCACTGGTTAAGCGTCTTGAGCCGTTCGACATCATTTGTAAGTCTTCCTTTAAGATCAGTACGTAGGAAAGATCTAATAGGTTTAGCTTCGATGAGAGAACGGACACCGTTCCCGGGAGAACTTATCAATCGGCTTCCAAATCTTAAACTTCTCCTCACAACAGGCGGTAAAAATGCATCTATCGACGTGAAGACATGTTCTCAGCGTGGCATTCCCGTAGCTGGTACCGATGCGAAAGGGCCAAGTCCAGACCCTACGACCCAGCATTGTGTCGCCTTGGTCCTTGCGCTTGCGAGAAACATCCCGCAAGACGATGCTATCATGAAATCCGGAGGTTGGCAGACAACTTCCGCAACGGGATTGGCGGGGAAGGTGTACGGCAGCATCGGTCTTGGTAGATTAGGAGTGTCCGTCTCGAAGATCATGCACATAGCCTTTGGGATGAAGATCGTGGCATGGAGCCCAAACTTAACTCAGGAGGCTGCCGATGAGAAAGCCAAAGCTGCTGGATTGCCCGTCGAGGACGAAAGCGGAGAGAAGACGTTTAAGGTAGTCAGTCGAGATGAATTGTTCTCCTCTGCGGATGTAGCTACTGTCCAGCTGGTCCTCTCAGACCGGTCTAGAGGTCTAATAACGGCAAATGATTTAGGAAAGATGAAGAAGTCGGCGCTGTTCGTTAATACTTCAAGAGGCCCGATAGTGGTAGAAGAGGACCTACTCGAGGTAGCTAGGAAGGGTTCAATACGTGGCATAGGGATTGATGTGTACGAAATCGAGCCACTGCCTACGGCCAGCGAGTGGAGGACGACGAAGTGGGGAGAAGGAGGTAGAAGTCAGGTGGTTTTAACACCGCACATGGGCTACGTTGAGGAGGAACATATTACGGAGTGGTATCGGCAGCAGGTGCAAAACATATTACGATGGCAGAAGGGTGAAGAATTGGCAACCGTTTTTAGGGATAATGGGTACTAAGCATTACGATTTAAACTGAACTACCTAAGAAGTTACGGTGTTGCACTTTCCGTAATTACCAATGGTAACTGCCTATTGAGCTGCGATTTGGTTGATTGCAATTGGTTAATATGTGTGGCCTTAGCCATAAGTCGAAGCTAGTAGCATGTTGTTGTCTGGTGACGGCAGGTTCAGTGTTAGTTCCTCGGAAACATACGAAGCAGGTACATCCTATCCTACCTCGAGAGGTTATGTACATGTAGTTAAAGCACTTAGTCAAGTACTGCACCTTCGCGACTTCCTAAATTATATATTTCGTACTAATTTTAACTCCTCGCGCCTGCCGACACTGTCTTGGGTCTTTCTTTAATTCCTTCTTAAACATTGCGCATCTTTTTCCCTTTCTCTTGGCGCACATTGCCAATTATATTCCCATGAATTTCACTTTACTCCTTGCTTTACCATTGTTACCCTTTGAGTTCAAGTGAACTCAGAAGATATTATGGAGGCCTATGGAAATTCGTCCCTTATCAAAGGGGCTCCGGGTGAAGGTAAGGCATTCATCCAACCTGACATTTAGTCCTTGAGCTTACAAATTATAGAATCACCCTTCAGTACTGGGTTTCAGGCATTGCTCAGCGACGCGACTAGGACGACCAGCCCAACGTCGACTTCCTATGGAGGACCTGATCCCTCATTCGCATCCGCAGGATTCATCATCGATCTTGGGGGTAGCGGTCCCCGTGGTCGACCTGCGATCGGTAGCGCATCTGAAGATGATTGCAAGGTCAAGCAAGAGGGTCCTGGTCCGTCATCAGATAGCGCTACTGTCATGGGGGGCACGTCTCAGAACGGTAAGCATCGTAATGTTTCTCCTGCCTGCTAATTAATGTCGCTCTAACCGTGGTCCCAAGATACCTCCATACCTCTAGCCAATACTGCACCCGGAGACAGTGCAATGTCATCTTTGGGTCTACCGGCCCGCCCTATCGACGCCGGTAATATTGCCACCCCAGAGACTGTATTGAAGCGCCCCATCCTCTCTAGACCAATCTTTGGTATTGGCCGCGACGCTCCCGTCCCTCAAGGACCGCCCAACTTTGCCCACAATCAGAGCGGTAGCCGAGGGAGTGTTGGGCCAGAGCATGCGGGTAATTTCCCTGCTGTAGATGGTAAATATGTCACTCCCGCAATGCTTCTGAGCCAAGAGTGCCAGAAACGACGATTCAATCCGCAGTTTACGGAATGGCATGATCGCAATGGCCGTTGCAAGTGCTCTGTCAGTCTCAAGGGGTTGATAGTTTCCGAAATGCGTGCATACAACACGGCTTCCGAGGCAAAGGCGGCTATTTCCAAGAAGGCTCTCATAGAAGTTCGCAAGTTACCGGTACGTAATATCGACTCTCTGCTTCTTCTATTTTAGTCACCAAATCCACATTTTCTTGCTCAGATGGTTATTAATATACAATAAAGTGCGAGGATCCCGCAGATAAACCTGCAGCGATCCTTACGGAGGTTGTCAAGCAGGGCATATACAAAGAAGTGCCCGACTTCTTCGGGTTTGGTTCGGCGCAGACGGAGAACAAACCAAACCCTCAACAGCATCGCAATCATCAGCATAACCAAGTTGCCCCCTTCATGCAGGAGCATCGTGTCAGCCGTTACCAACCCCCTGGCAATTTCCCCAATGACCGTCACGACAACTACGATCTTCATGATCAACAGAATTTGCTGATGAGTCAAGTTCAATACCTGTTCGGTCACATCAACGGACCTAGCAACAGGATCGCAGAGGATCCCCTGGCCTCTCGTGCCTTTCTAGAGGGCATCGCCTTAGGTTCACGGCTAGGTCAGTCAACCATACGTCACCCCGACACATACACCTACGCCCCGCCCCCGGCTCCTCAGAGACTGAATGCTCGGCCACATGGTGATGGTGGCCGCCGCCGGGAGCGATCCCCTGTCATAGGTCCCAGATCCCATCATAATCGAGTGAGATCGCCACTTCGTCGCCGCAACCACTAAGATGCCGACTAGCTCGCTGATCGGCCTTGAATAGATATTATCCCGATTGCAGATCGCCCCAGGATCAAGTTGCCTTTGCATACAGCTTATAGTTCTTTGTCGCGGATTTTGCGAGGGGGGTTCTAGGTGAAGAACCACAAGATTATCATATTTCCTGATAGGTAGGAAATGATATTGCGTTGCCTTTTCGGTAGATTAGGTAGTTATGGATCATATTTCTCTGCAGTTTCGTTCAGTCAGCCAGAAAAGAAATCACCAAAAAGAAAAAGAATTGCACCAATCCTCGCAACTCGGTTATTTGTGACAATTGCTCTACTGTTCTTAAATCTTGCTTGGCATCCTTAAACCTCCGTCTAACCTGATCACTGTACCGTTCAGCATAGCATTCTCGATGACGTGCCGGGCCAACCGGGCAAACTCCTCGGGCTGTCCTGCTCGTCTCGGAAATTCCATGACTGCTTCTAGGCCCTTGAATAGCTTCTTGGGCATCACAGCCGTCATTCGCGACTCAAACACCCCTGGAGCGATAGTTACACAACGGATACCGTAGCGTGCTAGGTCTCTCGCCATTGGCAGGGTCAAGGCTGCGACTGCACCTTTACTGGCTGCATATGACACTTGCCCTTTCTGCCCGTCGAATGCGGCAACTGAAGCTACCATGACGACTACACCCCGTTCCTTATCGGCTCCTACGGGTTCAGTTTTGGCAATGTGTACGAGACACTGCCGTACCAGGTCGATCGTACCTCGCAAGTTGATGTTGACGACGAAATCGAAACTGTCCATGCTGAAGGCGTTACCCTCCCGATCTAATATCTGCTAGATGGTTAACTTTCTTTTCGTCCGGGCTATCTCGAAACATCCGTACCGTGGCTGGGTTACCGACGCCAGCAGCAGGTATGACACCGCCTAAGGGTTTCCCTGTCTGCTGTGCCCATTCAACAGTCCCCTTGACGGCCGCTGCAATACTCTCGGTGTCGAGGACATCGCAGACGAAGAACTTCCCCGTTCCGCGAGGAAGGTTATTGACTACTGTGTTGCCGTTTTCTTCATTTAAATCTAGCACAGCAGCATTACCCCCATTCCGACAGATCTCCTCTACGCATGCTTGTCCGAGGCCCGATGCTCTATACTTAAATAGTCAGCCCGAATTTAAAATTTTACTTTGGATGCATGAAACACGTTAATTGCGTACCCGCCAGAGACCACAAATGTCCTACCTTCAATCTTCATATTGACTAAGTTGATACAGATAGGGCGACAATCAGTTGTTGAATGTATGCTAATATATTTATGAAAATGAAATTTAATAGAGCTAGGCTTATGGGTTCTATAATAATGAATACTTAGGAGGTAGGCACCTTAATCTTATAAACCGAACAGTCCGGATCCAACCGTCGCGGTTGCGGCAGTGAGACAAACGGAGAATTCATGAGCCTCGGTAAAATCTTACATTAGCTAAGATAGGGGGTATTCCTGCTGACTAAGAGAGGTATCAAAGGTATCTAGGTACTGTGTCAGTGTGTACACCAAGAAAGCACTGACCGGCTAATCCCTGCAGAGTACCCACACCTTACACCCAGTTTCGTCATTTCGTCACTGTTCATCACAAGCACTGATAAGCACAGCTGAAACTACCGCATTTCAGGCATTGGTTTGAACTATTTTAAGCCTTGTTTTAGTTTATATCGTAAGGTGAACCTAACCAACAACCTTGATTATACCCAATTCCTGCATATCCGATAACATTTCGACCACTTTCCCTATTAACATTTCGAGATTCCTATTTTCAGCTAAGTTTCGGCCTGTTTTCCGATATCGCACGAGGGGCCGGATAAGATGACGCGTCCGAGACGGTCGTCGGCCGCTAGCGCGGAGAGCACAGGGACGGCGGGCGACCAGGTATGCGGCGACGAGCTTCGGGCGGGAGATAAGCGAAGAAATCCGATGGCTAATACGGTTCTAGGAGCTCGGGAGCATGTATGATTACCTCGCTAAGATTATCTTATTGGGCCCGAGCGGAACTGGAAAGTGAGTCGCAATTATTCCGATTCGAGCTGAAGAAGACATCCCAAACACAGGTTTTTGGAACCGTGTGTAAGAAGATGGGCCTCGACTATGACGGGTTATGGGCTACCCGCTAACAATACGGTCCCGGCAGGTCGTGTCTTCTGCATCGTTTTGTCAAGAACGAATGGCGAGTTCTTTCGTCGCAAACGATCGGTGTCGAGTTCGCCAGCAAGATTATTAAAGTCGGTACAGGCCCGCGGAGAAAGCGGATAAAGCTACAGGTACTGTGACGCACCATGGTAAAACAGAGCGGCTGTAACTGATATTAATACTAGCTATGGGATACGGCAGGCACTGAGCGCTTTCGCTCTGTCTCACGGTCATACTATCGGGGCGCCGCAGGCGCTATCTTATGCTACGACATCACATCACATAACTCGTTCAGGGCGCTACAACCTTTTCTTAATGACGCTCGAGCCCTGGCTTCACCTAATTTAACAATGATACTCGCTGGAAATAAGCTGGACCTTGCCAACGATACTCTCGTCGATACGAGTCTTCCTCCTCCCACGCCGTCAAGCACGAATTCGTCTCTGCTATACGGCACGTCCGCCGGTACGACGAGTGCAAACGCCTCCCTCGGAACACAACTGAAAGCGACGGTAGCACCCGAAGGCCGCGAGGTATCAACCACCGAGGCGTCACGATGGGCTAGTAGCGTCAACGTGCCTGTTACGGTGGAAGTGTCGGCCTTCTCAGGCGAGGGTGTGGATGAGATATTTGCGCGGTTGGCACGCATGATCCTGACCAAGATTGAGCTCGGGGAGATCGACCCGGACGATCCGATGAGCGGTATTCAGTATGGTGACGGAGGCACGTGGAATGCGGGGGCTAGCGACGGCGGCAGTATCAAGAGCTCCATGACAACAGATGAGGTCGGCCTAGGCGGCATGAGGCGGAGACGCAAAGGCAAGAACCGCGCACAGAATTGGGGTATGCGCGAGTGGGAGGAGGTGTTTACTCTAAACCGCGGGCGAGGCAGAGGAAACTGTTGCTAATACAAGATACAAAGGGGATAAGCTGTGGGCTGTAATCACGATGAAAGGGATACGAGCTAGATAGGGACTGGCCTGGCGACATTACGACGATACCTACTTCTTTTGCAAGCGCGCTCGTTTCTGGTCGTTTTTAGCTTTTATGGCGTTGGGAGTGAACGTGCCCTAGGGATAATTCCGAAGACCTGATAGAATAATATGAGATTTCTCTTTGCCCGATACTGCTGATTTATACGCAAGGACATATAAGAAGGTAAATATTATATTCATGCTATGTAGCTATACTAAGGGCCGATGCCACGATGCCGAGCGCCGATAAGCGGCGTGGGAGGTGAGGCTCCGTCCTTTTCGGCGGAGGGTCTTCCACCCTTGCACTTCGGCGGAAAGACCTCCACTAGGTTACCGAATGCTTAGGTACGCATATCTATGGGTCTTTTTTCATCATATCAGTCGATGAGAGATAATACTAGGCATCAAAGACCGATATCAGGGACTACTTATCAATAATATCAGGGACTACCTATCAATGCTTCGGAGGTCGGGATTATAAAAATGATCGAAAGATTGTCCGACAGATGCACGATAAATACGTACCGGCCGGGGCTTTCTCCGCAGAGGATCCCGCTCCGCTGCACAGGACTAGCCCAATCGGGTAGCGGAATCGTATGCTCCGCGATATGGAACCATTAGCGTGGAATTGGCGAGTTCAGAAGGTGGGGTTCGATGATTGACGTTAATGTTGTTTCTTTACTTGATTTCTTGCATTTCTGCATGTGCAGAGTTGATCTCATCCAACTAAACTTCTACACGGTCTTCATTCATTTGCAAATCTCCAACGAAACGAAGCTGCAATGATGATGATGGCTCTTCTCCAACTGCAGGTTCCTGCATGTAGTCATGCATATATACCCCCGACGGTTAGAGCGGCTAGTGATTGCCGACAGTGGCCGCTTCGCTTGCATTGCCGATAAGAAACGAGATGCTGAGAGGTACCTACATCCTAGCCTATAGCTCTCCTCGAGTTGCTCTCCTCAGGTACTCCGAGATCTGTATCACATAGCAACTTGGAGCCAAGTACCCAATCTTTGTAAATATCCCCGGCAAGTAACATTCCGCATTCTTAGTTGCTATTGATCTTGTCTACCTCATACATTCATTGTAAAGTTTACATTGCAAAAGTCATTGCGAAGTCAACATCGTCGATAGTAGATCGTCTAGTCGCGCTCCAATAAGCTACGAGGATCTTGTCGGCTTCCCGTCTATCTTTGTTATTAGTTCTATCCTGTTTCTCATTTATTCCTGTCGCTTAAGTCCACATCTGAGCGACACTACTGCTCGTCTATTTCTATGGAGCGTCGTCAGGATTCAGAATCATTGCTAGGCCAAGCCTATTCTAGAATTACCAATTTAAGCAAGGCTCGCCTTGATATAAATATACGCTTATCCTCATCCTCTATTACTTCTTGTGAATCTCCATCTCCTCTCCCTTTCAAGCCACAACCTCACGAGATGGCGCCTCGCACTGTGATCCCGATCAACAAGAATTGGGAGTTCAAGCAGGCCGACAAGGAGGATAGCAAATATCTGCCCGTGGGCCAATTCCCTACCAACGTGCACCTCGACCTACTCGCTCATAAGCTCATCCCCGACCCTTATATCGGTAAGAATGAGATTGATGTGCAATGGGTCGGCGAAGCAGTCTGGATCTATAGGACAAGCTTTGCGACCCCTGCAATTGGGAGCTCTGCGAAAGCTGTCTTGGCCTTTGATGGATTAGACACCTTTGCGACTGTGGTGCTCAACGGGAAGACTATTCTAGAGACAGAGAATATGTTTATCCCTGAACGCGTCGACGTCACAGCCGACTTAAAAGGGGACGGCGGAGAGAACGAACTCGTTATCACGTTCGATAGCGCATATTTGAGAGGATGGAAATTGGTCGAGAAATATCCGGATCACAAGTGGGGATGCTGGAACGGTGATAACTCAAGGTTGGCCGTGCGGAAGTCGCAATATCACTGGGTATGTCAAAAACCTAGTAGTAGAGGAGAAACTTTCTATAATGAAGATAAACTGACCTATATAGGGCTGGGATTGGGGTCCGGCATTATTGACCTGCGGCCCCTGGAGGCCGATCAATCTCGAAGTCTACGAGTCGCGTATCACCGATCTCTGGGTCGACATTGACGTTGATAAATCTCTGAAATCTGCTACCATAACCACACATGCCTCCACAGAAGGCAAAGCTTCGGGGGTTTGGTTTGACATCTCGTTCAATGGTACGCCTATTGTAAGCGAGGCGGTAGCATCTGGTGGAAGTGCTACATTTACAATTGACAACCCAAAACTGTGGTACCCGGTACGATATGGTAAGCAGCCCCTATATACAGTCACAGCGACCTTAGACGAAGACGGCAAGATCATAGACAGCGTGTCAAAGAAGATCGGCCTGCGGAGAGCAGAGCTCGTCCAGAGACCACTTAAGGGGGAACCTGGCACGTCATTCTTCTTTGAGGTTAACGGAATTCCCATCTTTTGCGGCGGCAGCGATTGGATTCCTGCAGATAACTTCATCCCACGGATTGGCAAGGAGAGATACTATGACTGGGTTAAATTGGTGGCAGATGGTAACCAATTTATGATCCGTGTGTGGGGAGGGGGCATCTACGAAGAACAAGCGTTCTACGACGCCTGTGATGAGCTTGGCATCCTCGTATGGCAGGACTTTATGTTTGGCTGTGGCAACTATCCCGCCTGGCCTGAACTTTTAGACTCGATCAAACGAGAGGCGGAAGAGAATATTAAGCTACTAAGACACCACCCGAGCATCGTGATCTACGCTGGAAATAACGAAGATTACCAGTATGCAGAGAGCGTCAATCTCACTTGGGAGCAGGATAACAAGGACGCCAAGAGTTGGCTGAAGACCGACTTCCCTGCGCGCTACATTTACGAGAAGATTCTTCCCGATGCGTGTCGGGAATTAACACCGTCTGTCTACTACCATCCCGGTAGCCCCTGGGGAGGGGTTGACACGCGGGATCCTACAGTGGGCGATATTCACCAGTGGAACGTCTGGCATGGCACGCAGGAAAAGTATCAGAATTTCGACAAGCTCGTTGGGCGTTTCGTATCCGAGTTTGGCATGGAGGCCTTCCCGTCGGTGAAGACAATCGATGCTTTTCTCCCTCTCGGTAAAGACGACCCAGATCGGTATCCGCAGTCCTCAACGATAGATTTCCATAACAAAGCAGACGGACATGAACGACGTATAGCGTTGTATCTAGTTGAGAACATGCGGTACGCGCCAGACCCGCTCGAGCAATTTGTTTACAGCACACAGCTGATGCAGGCTGAATGCCTGGCGTCGGCGTACCGGCTTTGGAAAAGGCAGTGGAAAGGCCCAGGGCGTGAATATTGTTCCGGAGCGCTCGTTTGGCAGATCAATGACTGTTGGCCAGTCACTAGCTGGGCTATCTGCGATTACTACCTGCGTCCCAAGCACGCCTACTTTACCGTCAAGCGCGAGATGGCACCGCTATCAGTTGGCATGACACGACGTGAGCACGCATTCCCGCGCAACAAATACACACGCGTGGACATAGAAACCAAAGTACAGATCGAGATATGGGGCAGCAATCTTACCCTCGAGGACCTAACCGTAGATTGCGTGGTCAAGGCCTGGGATGTAGATACCGGGAGGGAAACGTACAGCGAGAAGGTCAATAAGGAACCTCTCGTCCTCCCTAAGAACCAATCTACTGAGATAGTAGCCTTCGACGTGCCGGAGCCAAAGAAAGACGAGGGTATCGATGCTTCGCGAACCGTTGTTGCCGCGTACTTGGTAAGCCGTGATGACGGCGCTCAGCTCGCGCGTTACGTCAACTGGCCAGAGCCCCTGAAGTATTTACATCTTGCCAAACCGACACAGCTACGTGCGGAATTAAGTGGCGATCTCACCGCCGTCAGTGTTTCAGCCGAGGTCCCTATTAAGGGCGTCGCGGTCGAGAGCGAGGACGACGATGTCAAGTTCGAGGATAACCTTGTTGATGTCGTCCCTGGAGAGGTGGTGAGTATCAAGGTACGCGGCGCGAAGGAGGCTACTGTTATTACCACTAGGTATTTAGGCATGATTTAGATGTAAATCTACCTGTTACTCGGTAGACAGATATATAGGCTAGGATGAAGACATGAATTGGATACATTCGCCACTCTTAGTTAATCTAGTTCTTAAATTGTTGCGGAAACTACAGTATTGTATTGCATGAAGATTCTTTTTTTTTTTTTAATATCCTTTCTTCCTCCTAGCCTGCTTACCGATAGCTTTATTTATTTTCCAAGTATTTCCCTTAACCTACCTAGCTTAACTTAAGCCTCTGCCCTGGTCTCAATACTACTTTCACCACGGATTCGTCACGCACCACGCACCACGCGCCACGCGATTTAGATTTGGATTTGAAGACCATGCAACTACTTGTCCCGCTAAGTGTCCGATCCTATTCCGAGTCGCCCCGTGTCCCGTTGATGTCGCATCGGGTAGTGTAACACGGAGGATACCGGGGGCGGGTATACTGCTAGGGGGCTTATATTTAGGTAGAGACCGCTTCCCACTTAAACGAAACGAGACGGGAATCGACTTTGGCTTTGGAATATATGACGAATAAATCGTGTACTGTTTTATACTATGGCTAAGACGGGCACGGGTGACGAGAAACATTGGGGCGAAATAAGTGGACTCGTGGCAGACATGTATATACTATTACTCTGAATACGAATATTAGAGTCACACCTCTGAAATTCGCATATATGTAGTAACAAACCGTGTATCACAACCGACAACAGCCGTCGCGTTTATCATCAGCGTATTTCTATATATACCTATCTAGCCTACGCCGGGAAATCATCAATATGTTTTATGACAAGCCTAAGCTTTAGCAGCAACGGCAGCGGCGCCCTTCTCGTTCGGGCCCGCGATCAATATTTTAATGACCTCGCCCTGCTTGACCTTCTTGAACGCGTCCTCGGCCTCTTCGAACGCAACAACGGCGCTGACGAGCCTCTTAACGTCCACCTTGCCGCTAGCGACGAGCTCGACGGCGAGCTTGTAGTCACCGCTGCCATAGCGGAAGCTTCCCTTGGCGGTGACCTCCTTGATGCACATGGCCATGATGGGGAATGTGATGTCCGACTTGCCCATGCCGCCCTGGACGTACGTGCCGCCCGTGCGTACCGCGTGCAAGCTCGTCTGGATACTGGGCTCCGCGCCACTTGCGTCTATCACCACATCCGCACCGTCAGGAAGGTCTGCCTCCTTCCGGATATTGGCTGCATTCTGCTCCGCGGGCACACGTTGGCTAATGTACGTGTGTGTCGAGCAGAAGGACTTGGCGAAGGCGAGCTTTGACTCGACGATATCGACGGAGACTACCTTGGACGCTCCGAAGGCACGGGCTACTGCTGCACAGAGAAGACCAACGGGACCAGCTCCCATTACGATGACCGATTGGCCTGGGGTTACGACTGCTTGTCGGACGATGTGAACGGCTACGGCGAGGGGCTCGATCAAAGCGCCTTCTTGCAAGGAGACGTTGTCGGGCAGCTTGTAGCAGAAGTCGGCAGGGGACACCCAGAAGCCCGTCAGCGTACCGTCGTAGGGAGGCGTCGCGGCAAAACGCATCTCGGGGCAGAGGTTGTACTTGCCACTCAGGCAAGGTTGGCATCGCCGACAGGGATAGCCAGGTTCTAAAGCAATACGATCACCAGGCTTTAACGTTTTCACCTCGGGACCGACTTGGACGACGGTACCGGACGACTCGTGGCCCAAAACCATGGGATCTTTAACAACGAAGTGGCCGATAGCACCGTGCTCCCAGTAGTGCACGTCCGAGCCGCAAATTCCAGTGTAGTTCACGGCGACGAGGACATCGTGGGGTGTTTGGAGGGAAGGGACGGGCTTGGCTGAAAACTGGACGTCATGGGGTTTATTGAGGATGAAAGAAAGGTTCTAAGAGTATTGTTAACTAGAGGACTATCTGATGATGGTTAAGGGGGTACGGTACATACACTCGCTGATTGAGGATCCATTTTATCTAGTCAGTAAATATGAGGAACGTTAAGAAAGGGTATCAAATGGATAAATATAGGTATAAGTATTTGACTTCAAAATACAAAATAAGATGAGATATAAAGTCAACACTCAACACATGAGCAGGAAAGAAAGAAAGAAAGAAGGAAAAAATCTCTCGCCTCCTTTGCTCCCCCCGTACTCGGAGAGCTAAGCTCTGCTAAGGCATGACAATCTCGCGAGAGCTACAGCATACACGATAGCGCGGGGCAAGGGTTGGCAATATTGGTATCTCATAGTATTTCATAGGACATAGAATGTCGTAATGGGACCTGCAACCCGCCCACCAGGTCGAGGCGTAGTGGGGGGATCATCCCCCGGTTTGACCCCCGGTCCACGGTAGAGTGATGGAGCTTTGACATTCGAAGTTGCTAATGCTTACAAGCTTCTTTCCCCTCGGGCTAGAATCACGTTGTGTTTATCCAACGATTTACCCGGGCCAATCAGCTTGGCAGCGGTGTCTGCGCTAGGTAGATCATTCATGTCGTAGAAGACTTGGGGCTGCAGAGCGGGAAGCAAGGAGATCCTGAAGTCGTGAAGTATGGTAGCGACAGGAGCCAATCGAATGATGATAAATCGATTATCCCTTTGACTTTGTGATATATCACTATCATTAGCATTGACATCGGGAATGACGTCAAATTTCGTAGTTAGTATGATGCCAACAAAATGATGACTTGTGAAGAAAACTGCCGTTTGGTAGTTTTTATTAAGGAACATAATAAAATGATTGGTTGATTGATAAAGCAGTTTGCGGGGCAATGGGACAGGGGGACAGCGGGGCTGCGGGGATGGGAGGGGAATATTACATAACCACCGAGTTTTTTTTTGTCCGGCAGAAACTTACCGCCAAGAAATTTCTCTACACCGCCCCAAACCTACGGAATAATTTATCCAACAATTCTCACCTTCGTAAGTAGTCTAAGAGTACCTGTCGTCGCAAACGATGGATATTTTGAAGATTCTGTCCCGAGGGACAAAAAGGTCTGCGAATCAACAAGCTATCCAAAAACCTATCGCAAAACCTTCAAACCCTCAGCTATTCAATGATCCTACTCGAGGTGTGAAGCGCAAAAGGAACGAGGAAACCGCCTCGACGCTAGAAGCCGATGGTGATCTGGATGAGATCAACTTTTTTGCGCCTCGAGTAGCTAAAAAGCCAAGTCCCGAACCCGAAATTCAGGAAATACCCAAAGAGAATGTACCAAAGCCGGTACTTGATGAGGAAGAAGTGCGACAAGTCCTTCGGTCGCATCGTTTGAAGTTTACTCTACTTTCCTCCCACGAAGAAAAAAAGAAAAAGGTGAAGAAGTCCAAAAAGAAGGAAGAAGCGAAGTCAAAAGCGAAAGATGTGAAGAAACAGCTTTTCCCGCAACCATTAACCTCGTTTTCCGAACTACGTTCCGTATACAATATTTCGACTAGGCTAGGGGAGAATCTTGTAAAGCAGGGATATCGAATACCAACCGAAGTACAATTGGGCAGTTTACCCATTTTATTACAACCAGATAGGGCGATACCGACGTCTGCTTCCGAAGAATTAAACTTCAAAACTGACAATGGCATCGATTTCTTGGCAGTCGCGCCAACCGGCAGCGGCAAGACGCTCGCGTTTTTGATTCCGGCCATCAACAACATCTTGCGCAGGAAGGCTGGCGATAAGGCGCAGAAAGAACATGTGTTAGAAGTGGTGGTAGTTGCGCCTACGCGAGAGCTTGCTCACCAGATTGTTAACGAAGGTAGAAAACTGGCGCAGGGCACAGGGGTCAAGATCGTGGGGATGAAGAAAGGCATGCAAATACCCGCAGAAGGCCAGGTAGATGCTGACGATGGGGATACCTCTGGAAGCGAGGATGAGGCCGGTAGTGCCGATGATGATTCGGAAGGCGAGCAGAAAAAGATGACAACAACTAAAACGGATATACTAGTCACAACGCCAATGCTTTTACGGAACTACCTAAAATCGAGGACGTTGCCGACGGTCAAATCATTAATCCTAGACGAAGCAGACGTTCTTCTCGACCCCCTATTTCGCGAGCAAACTCTCGGGATCTGGTCTGCTTGTACTAACGAATCGTTGCGACTGACATGCTGGTCTGCGACTATGGGTTCCAGCATTGAGGGTCTCGTCTTGGAGCAACTAAAGTCCCGGGAATCTTCTACCGTCCCTCTGATCCGTCTTGTAGTTGGACTGAAAGACACCGCAGTCCCAAGCATTAACCACAAACTCATCTATACTGCTACCGAGCAGGGCAAATTGTTTGCGCTCCGTCAACTTCTACACCCTAAATCTTCAGACGGTTCGATGCCGCAAATTCGACTTCCTTTTCTGGTATTCGCACAAACAATTGAGCGTGCTACAGCTTTGCATGACGAATTGAAATTTGATATACCCGCGGAAGCCGGCGGCTCGTCTCGTATCGCGGCTCTCCACTCATCTCTGTCCGACTCGGCCCGTTCGAGCATTGTCGCTCGGTTCCGTGCAGGTGAAATCTGGGTCCTAATCACAACCGACTTACTCATGCGAGGCATCGACTTCCGTGGAGTCAACGGCGTGATTAACTACGACGTCCCAACGTCCGCAGCAGCCTACGTCCACCGTGTAGGCCGAACCGGACGAGCGGGTCACGAAGGCGGTATGGCTGTAACATTTTACACTACTGAAGATGTCACATACCTCAAAAGCATCGCCAACGTCATCGCTCTGAGCGAGAAACAAGCCGGGAAAAGCAGCGAGGAAAGCGTCCCTAAGTGGCTGATAGATTCGCTGCCGAAGGTTGACAAAGATGAAAAGAAGAAGCTTAAGCAGCGGGGTGTGGAGTCTCGACGAGGTGCCAAAGCTGCGAAGATAACGACGCAGAGCGCGTGGGAGAGGCGAAAGGAGCATAATAAGCGCGGAGCGATTGCTGGAAGTAAGAAGAGGAAGACGCAAGAGACAGTTAATGATGATACCCAGGGACAAGACGACAGCGAATGGGGCGGAATAGGGGATTGAGCGTGTATGCAGCTTGTATATAGGGGTCTTGTATATAGGGGTTACGTTGAGCCTACCTAAGCTAATATCATCTACTCTTCAAAGCTGTGTTTGTTCATTATGGCTTAATTTCTTGACAGGTATATTTATACGGTGCCTGTCGCAACAAACCTTACCAGGTCTACTTGAATTAAGAAATTGATTTAATAGGTATCGTTAACTTTTATATCTTCTAAATTATTATTTCCTATTATTTCCTTAACATTCGATCAATTATTGGTCAATTAGCTTTCACGTCATCCATTTGTCTAATGACGAAGGGTCGGAATTTGAGCGCCGTGTGGCTCCGATACCGAACTCCACTTCTTATAGGCGATAACGGCTATCTCAGGTTCAATCTTTACCCTCGGGAAGCTCGCCCGGAATGCTGCTTCTCCTCTCAAATCCTTCCTGTTTTCCAAAATACCAATTGGAAGTGACTACGGGCGTATAGTTCTACATTGAAGTCTTACGGCGTAATAAGATGACATAACAATCGTTCTAGGTTTAAGGCATACTCAGTCTCAATTCAACATGTCGCGACTTATATATCGATCGACCCACGCCGGGCTTCGGTGCGTCGGGGTTCCCAGACCCATCCGGACAGCTTCGCCATGCGTCGCATACCTACAGCGTACGCGATCGTATGCCACGGAGAAGAAAGATCAGGGATCTAGTTTCCAGGGTCAGATGCTCGAGAGTATAAGCTCGCGAATCGCGCGCGAGAAGGCAGAACGAGAAAAGTTTGCGAGGCAGCGAGAGGAATCCGCGGCAACGAGGCGATGGGCTACGACGTTCGGTGAGAATGCCCCAAGGCCATAAATTTGTAAATTATAAATCTAACATCTAACTATTATTAATTATCAGTCGTTCTTGGTGTCGCTGCTGGCTCTTACTTCTTAGGCACGAAAGCTCCCCGAGATGTCGACCCCGCCTCGACTCTTCCTCTAGCTCTTACTCGTGACCCGAAATACAAGAACGACAAGTCGAACCTCGAAGCTGCCTGGGCGGACTTTGCTAGTATCGTCGGAAAGGAGAATGTCAGCACAATGGAGTCCGATCTCGAAACTCACGCGAACTCGGACTGGTCGAGTTATCGCAGCAAGGAGTCAGAGAAGCCGTTCATGATAGTCTACCCGAATTCGACAGAGGAGGTTAGCCAGATTATGAAGGTTTGCCATTCACGGCGGATACCAGTGGTGGGCTACAGCGGAGGTACCAGCTTAGAGGGTCACTTCACACCAACGAGAGGGGGTATCTGCATAGATTTCCAGAGGATGAACAAGATCCTTGCGTTGCACAAGGAGGACCTGGATGTCGTTGTGCAACCGGCGGTCGGCTGGGAGCTACTCAACGAGGAAATCGGCAAGGAAAACTTATTCTTCCCCCCCGACCCGGGCCCGGGTGCCCAGATTGGAGGCATGATTGGTACTGGATGTAGCGGCACAAATGCGTATCGGTATGGTACCATGCGGGAATGGGTTCTCTCGCTTACCGTTGTGCTCGCGGACGGCACGGTAATCAAGACCCGCCAACGACCGAGGAAGAGTTCTGCGGGTTACGATCTGACGAAGCTCTTTATCGGCAGCGAAGGCACACTCGGTCTTGTCACTGAGGCAACTCTTAAACTTACCACAAAACCCACCCACACGAGCGTAGCGGTTTGTGGTTTCGGCACGATTCGGCAGGCCGCCGACTGTGTCGCAAAAGTAGTCGGTCAGGGCATCCCGGTTGCTGCCGTCGAAATTCTCGACGAAGAGCAGATGAAGTGCATCAACCAAGCTGGTATGACGTCGAAGCAGTGGAAGGAAGTGCCTACATTATTTTTCAAGTTCTCGGGAACCGAGCGTGGCGTCAAAGAGCAGATCCAGATTGTCGAGGAGATGGCTAGGTTAGCGGGTAGCAAGAGCTTCGAGTTTGCCCGCTCCGAGGTCGAGAAAGCCGAGCTG